CTTTCCTAGAAAGCGCCGCTCCACGCCGCGGCCATGCGCTCTCTGTGGAGAGAAATCCTCTTGGAGACCCTCCTGGGTAAGCCGAGGATGCCCTCGCCACGCGGTCCTGGGTGCCCCTCCGCCGGCCCTGCCCGGAGCCGCGGCGCTCGGCGGATAGGCTGAGCTCGGCGAGGCAGAAAAGCGCGCTTCGTGCCCAGAGCAAATCTTCCTCCTGGGAACTTTTGCCACCGTAGGGGTGGATGGGGGGTGGGTGGGGTGAAAAGACCTAGGTCGAGTTTCCGAAGCCGAGGATTCGGCGAGGTTCCTGCGGGAGAGGACGCTTCCCGAATTCCCACGCCACCCCGGGGTTGCTCCCAAGGCGCGCGAGTTTCACTCGTGTCGGCCTTGAATCCATACGGCCGGTACCGCCCCCCGAGACCTCTACCTGTGACCTTTATGTTTAACTTCATAAAATTCAGTACCTAACTTTAACTTTTGGGTGGAAAGGGGCACCCGTTGTCCCGGGCGGCTGTAGGTGAGCACACAGGGCGGTAGCTGCTGCTGGTGTTGGCCCGGCGCGAGTGGGCCCTGGTGGTGCCTGCACATTTGGCGAAAAGCATCGAACTTGAGTTCAGTGTGCTCACTTAGCTTTGCAAAAAGTCCCAAGAACAATCATTGGTGTATTTGTCAGAGTTGTATGATTAAAATCAGAATTCTCAGACAGATGTTTGGGAGATTGCTGGAATCTCGTTGTTCATTATGAAACAAGCATTTCTCTGGCCTGGGAGGGGCGCCTTCCTGGGAACTTGATTTCCTGGGAGCTGGTTATCTCAGAGGTCCTATTTTTCTGGCTTAGTCTGTATCTCATAAGTACGGCGGTGTACTTATGAGACACTTAGAGCTACCTCGGGTGCTAAGTATTCCTTGGACTTGATCTCATTTCATCCTAACAACTCTGTGAGGTGGTAAAAGTGCTATTTTGCTGATAAAGGGAGGTTGGGAAGTAACTTGGGAGAAAGTTAGCACACTTTGTGATTAGAAGCTGTATCTGGAGCTGGACTGCGTGGGTTTAAGGTCACTCTGCCTTTGCTACTTTCGTGACCTTAGACAATTAACTTTCTGGGTTTCAGGAGGCTTTCGTTCCTATTATTTGTTTTTGCATTTGTAAGAGAGAAGTAGAAATAATGGCAACCTCCTAGGACACGGGTCGTGTGAGAAATAGGAGAGATGATCCGTGTAAATCCTTAGCACAGAGCCTAGCACAGGGGAGGTGCCCATTAGCATTAATTGTCACTATCGCAGAAGGTAACACAGTAGCTGGCAGAGGTAACTTCAGATCTGGATATTCCACTACGGAGAACTGTCTCCCGAGGGTTGGATTTAAAATAGTCTGCTTTCAAGAAAATGATTGTTCCCTAACCATCATGTCTTTGGATGTAGTCTGGAGTGGGAGGAGGAAGTCCTGCTGCTTGTTGCTCTTGTCATTTTCACGTTTCTCATTCTAGTTGGGTCAGTGGAGGTAAGGAAATGTTATCAGTCAAGGTCCTGATAGGAAAACAAATTCAATGTGAATGGTCTAAATGAAGTGGCTTTAATAAAGGGATGACCTGTGGGATATGAACAAGGTTAAATATGAAGACTATGCATGAAAAACGAGGGATGCCCACGGACTCACACAGACAAGGCTGTCGAAGGGGAGGAATTCTCTTCCTGGAAACCAGTTAAGGCCAGAGCTGTGAGGGGCGGGGGGTGCACCTAGCTGGAGCAGGAGTAGGGTTTCTGTTTGAAATCATGAAAAAGTTACACTTTGTCTTTCTCTGAAAAATCTGTTTTCCTAGGATACGTTTCTTGGTCTCTCTGTCATGGCCTGGCCCCGATGATTTATTACTTTCCTCTGCAAACACTAGAACTCACTGGGCTTGAAGGTTTTGGCATAGCGTTTCTTTCTCCAATATTCCTAACAATTACTCCTTTCTGGAAATTGGTTAACAAGAAGTGGATGCTAACCCTGCTACGGATGATTACTGTTGGTAAGATTTTAAAATATTTCTTTGAGAGTGTTTTGGTTAAAAATCAAGTAAAAAAAATATGTAGACTGTTCTTTAAATGCTAAATGATTGAATAAAAAAGAAAAGATTTCTCTTTCTCTTACTACTACCTTAGAAAGGTTCTAGTAAAATTGGCAGACTAGATCAAAAACCAGTGTATTTTACCTTTTTAACTTTTCTGTCAGATTGGAAAAGCCTAAAAATTACTGAAATGAGGAGGGGAATGATACCTTGCTAAACAGGTCAACTCTTGGACATATTGTATTCTTTTTTCCAAATATGACACAAAACTCAGAAGCCATTCAAAATTGTTAAAATGCATAACAATATGAAAACTATGCATGACTAAAACCATAGTATGCAAGGCAACAACAAACTAGGGAACATATTTGCAACTCTTTAGTCAAAGGGTTAATTTCCGTAGTATATGGAGTTTTTACAAATTAATAATAAAAAAGGACCAACAACATACAATAGAAAAGGGAGCAAAAGCTACCATCAGTTTACTGGAAAGGAAATATAATTGGTTCTTAAAAATATTCTAAAATATGTAGACTATAAATTATACTCATACATATATTTATATATAGTTTATATACTTGATTGGCAAAGAACAGTCTAATAACACTGTATTGTAAGGGGAGGAAAGCAGGCACTTATCTATTGCTGGTGGGAATGTAAATTGACACAGCCTCTGCAGAGGATCATTTAGCAGTATTTATCAAAATTGCAAAATTGCAAAATTGGAGCAATTCCACTTCTAGGAATATATCTTACAGATATACTCACATATGTGTAAAATGACAAAAATACAAGGTTATTTAATTATCACAGCAATATTTTAACAGCAAGATTGGAAATAACCTAAATGTTATCTATATGGGATAAATGAAATAAATCATGGTTATGAAACTTGGAATACTATAGAATACTAGGAAGCTGTAAAAAAAAAGGATAAGAACATTATTTATTTAATGAAATGAAATGTGCTTCACAATATAGTAAGTGAAAAAAAGGAAGCACTAAATGGTGGATACAGAATACTAACATTTGTGTAAAAAAGGTTAGATGAAACTATATTTAGTATTTCATTGAACGTGCATGAAATAACTCTAGAAAATTAAAAAAAAAACCAACTTATAGTATTTTAGTTACTTCTAGGATGAAAAATAAGGTATGTAGAGACAGGTATGAAAGAGAAACTTTGCTCTGTATACTTTTTGTACTTTTTGAATTCTGAATTTGAATATGTTACATTGCCAAAAAATAGCAATTAAAAAATTTAAATATACACTTACTGTCACAAAGAATTGCGATAATTGATATTAGTAAATATTGAGAGTCTGGTGAAAAAGTAGCAGGAAAAAGTAAGAAGGCGAGCTCATGGAGAAAAGGTTTAAAAAAAGAAAACATCAGAGTCTGGTTGAAACTCTAGATGTCTTGCCTTTCTGCTAGAACACAGTTAATTTCTCTGAGTTTTCCCAGTGGCATTTGTATACGAACCATGCTGTGTATTTCTTCTGTCTAAAAATGGTCAGCTGACTTTTTTTCAGAAACTCTGACGGTAATCACTAGGAAATTGTCTTCTGCTTTTTTGTGCATCAGTCCCTGAAGAAGGCAGAGCACAGTGTGCTGAGTGCTAGGGCTGCCCATCAGGGTGTAGAATTCTGGTGTTTAAAGAGCTTGGACTCAAGAGAGAACAGTGGTAAAGACTCCTGAAAAATACATTCTTTACAAAGATGGTGCCATAGGAATGGAAAGACATATCAAATGACTGTGCAATTTTCTTTCCAAAAATAATAGAAATGAAGCTTTCTACCCTGAATTGAGTATGTGGTAACTGAGTTCAACTGCTGTTAGCTTATAGTATCCTTCTGTGAATTACTATGGCCTGAGTGTTGCAAGTCTCATTTTCTCATCACACTCCCTGGTTGGCTTTTATAGGAGTGATCTCACTGGCATTTTTTTTTTCTGCTGCCTTTGCTCAATGCTGCCTTACCTACAAAGCCACTATCTGAGCAGTTACTGGGACAGTTTTTTATTTTTAAGCCCAGGAACTTCTGTTGGCTATAAGGGATTCATATTAAGTAAGTTTGGAGTGAGTACAGTATTTGGGATGCTTCCTGTTGTTACCCGTTTAACTTCCTCCAAGAAACCCAGCACCTTGGGTAGAAGCGGAATTATATTTGAGAAAGTGGAGTAGTGACTCAGAGTTGAAGATGAAGAGGCTAGTTTCTGCCAGATACTCTTCCAGGTAGTCATTGAGTTTTGCTGAAGTAAACTCCCTTCAGATGCTTCTTAAGGAAATAAACAACTTTGTTTTTAAAGAGTCCTCAAGTATTCTTACATCACTACAGAGAAGAGCTGAGTGTTACATGCTATCTTACCTCTGGCACCTCAGACATTTTAGGTTTATTACTATGCAGCTAACTATTAAACTAGTTCACGTTACTATTGATTTGGGTTGTTTTTGACCTTAAAGATTTTGACCCACTAGTATGGCTATAATCAAAAAGGCAGACAATAGCAAGTGTTGGCGAGGATGTAGAACCCTCGTATGTTGCTGGTGTGACTCCAAGATGGTGCAGCTGCTTTGGAAAACAGTTTGGCAGTTCATCAGAATATTAAACAGAGTTATCGTATGACCCAACAATGCCACTCCTTGGATATACTCAAGAAAAATGAAAACATATGTTCACATAAGATCTTGTACACAAATATTCATAGCAGCATTATTCATAATAGCCAAGAAGTGGAAACAACCCAAATACCCATCAACTGATGAACAGATAAACAAAATGCAATATATCCAAGCAATGGAATATTATTCAGCTACAAAAGAGAATGACATACTGATACATGCTGAACCTTAAAACATGGATGAACCTTAAAAACATGCTAAGCGAAAGAAGGCAGTCACAGAAGGCTACATATTGCATGATTCTGTTTATATGAAATGCCCAGAATAGAAAAAATACATACAGATGAGAAATAGATAAATGATTGCCAGGGACTGGGGGTGGGGGGGAGGAAAAAGAGTGACTGCTAACAGGTATGGGTTTCTTCTTGGGCTGATGAAAATATTCTGGAATTAGATACTGGTAATAGTAATACAACTTTGTGACTATATTAAAAACCACAAAACTGCTCACTTTAACATGGTGAATTTTATGGTATGGATGATATCTCAATAAAATTAAGAAAAGATATGTATACACAGAATTCTGTATTAACTGTATCTTCCTGAGTATAAAGATGGCATCAGACACAACAGTTATCAAATTCAAATCATCGAGTACCAATGCATGATTGCCAGATATGTTTAGCTCTCTTTAATTTCTTTGTAGGCAGCATAGCCTCCTTCCAGGCTCCAAATGCCAAACTTCGGGTAATGGTCCTTGCACTTGGTGTGTCTTCTTCGCTGATAGTGCAAGCCGTGACATGGTGGACAGGAAGTGGTTTGCAAAGGTATGATTTGTATCTTACGTACCTATAGACAAATAAGTGTAGTGATCAGTTACCAAAGTGGGAGCCAGGACCAAGAGTTCCAGGTTATAGTATTTACCTTCCATCTGGCTGCGTAGAAGTCGTCTTCCCCCCGCCCCCACCCCCCCCAAAATCAGGATATAAATACTTGCCATCAGTCTTAACAATGTTTTGAGAATAGAGGCATTAACAAGTTGCCTAGGTAATGGGCTATATAAAGGCTAAGTCATGTATATTACTACAAATTACCAACCAGACTATTTCATATACTCATTCTATAAAACTATGAAATTCGTGATGGACATGTTCACTGAAACCATATTGAAAGTCATTAAAAATACTCATGCACTTATAGGTACCTCAGAATCTGGGGATTCATTTTAGGACAGATTCTTCTTGTTGTTCTCCGCATATGGTACACTTCACTAAACCCAATCTGGAGTTATCAGATGTCCAATAGAGTGATACTGACGTTGAGTGTCATAGCCACACTTGATCGCATTTCTGCAGGTAAGCATATGTCCGATTTATTTAGGCATATTTTCTCTCTTGCATAGTTTACCTTTCTTGTCTGAATGGAATATATCTTGGAAAGGTAAAAACAGTCCTTCTACACTGTTTCTCTATTTCAACTTTTTCTCTCTCTGACATAGTAACACCCAGTCAATGTACTATTATCTAAGCAGAAGACACCTTTTCCTTGCTAGTACAGAGGGTGAAAATAAAGTTATCTCTGGCTTCTGTCATTTTGGAGTGGGATAGTAGAGTAGGCCTCACGCTCTCAGCTGGCTTTCAACCCTGTTTTTCTCTTCTTTCCCTCTGGACATAACTTTCCAAGATGAGGTCCTTCACTCCTTGTCCCCCATACTGACCCCAGTATATCACACTATGGAAAATGGTGAGCTAGGGCTGTGGGAACTACCTGGGTTTGTTTTTCAAAAAATTTCCAGGCGTCTGAAGATATTTAAACTCCAAATCTGAAATTTGAAAAGAAAGAAAATCTTGTATATTTACACCAACTTTCAAACTACCAATCCCTCTCTGGAGCTGACTCTCTCCCAGACACTCACATACCCAGCTTAGACTCTAGACTCCTCTGAAAGGAAAGGAGAAGTGTTACTAGATTCTAATTAATTCTCTTCTGGCTTTTTGTGTAACTCCTAGTGAGTCACTGTTCTTTTGTAAATACAGGGAGAAGTCCCACAGGTTCATGGAACTTTACAGAGTTTTGGCTCACCGTGAACAAAGTGCTTGTATAATCCTCCTTTGGCCCAATTTTGGCATGAGTTGGGGGTAGTGAGAATAGGGGAACATTGTTATCAGGATAGAAAAAGGGTCCGTCTATCTGCACGTGTCTAAGAGATACGTGCAGGTTTTGTAGCAAAGAAAGTAAGGTTTGTTAGAGAGTTGCATGTCCCGGGGACACAGGCAAGCTACTGCTCAAAGCCTGGCTCCCCGGGTATCTTGGGAGTGTAGATTATATAGGGAAAAATCAGTAGTCATGGAAATGAAGGGAGTTGGGGTCCTTGGTGCTACTGACTGGATGATTGGAAGGAAATGAGATAACTGATCGTTGTGACCAGTTCTGGAATCAATCATGGCACCATCCTGTCTGGTCCTGCCCAGTGGGGTGGTTATTCTGCCTCGATGGGACTGGGGCTGAAGCACAGCTAAAGTCAAGATGTTGTCCTTAATCTAAAGTCTAACTAAAATCTATTGTCCTCTTGATTACAGACCAGAGGCTCAGTTAAACTTATGTCTTGAGGCTTAATGATTAAAGGAGCAGGCATACAGAGGATGGGGGATGGGAAGCAAGTGAGTCACAATGGCATCATCTGGGCAAAACCAGCTTGAATCGGAGGAAAAGACTATATTAAAGAAATAAAGTTTGTGTATAGTTACAACATCATGCAAGTAAATTGGTCACGTGACATTACTATTAATAGAATATTCAGATCTTGGTCTAGAGCCCTAATATATGTTTTATAGTTTGTAAAACACAAACATTTAAAGTGGAAACTCAGACAGCACATTTCACAGGTACATCTGATAAGGATCTGAACTTCAAGGTGTCCTTTACATTTCTTGACTTCTGTTGTCTTCTTTCTTGCCTCTGTTTTAAATTTATGTGACCCAATTTTTGGTCCCTTCTTTTTTTACCCCTGTGCTCCCATTTACAAAACTCCAGATTCCTCACCAGCTTCTCCAGGATATCTGATCATACCAGGCTTTTTTTTTTTTTTTAGTTTTATTGAAGATTTGTTGGTCCTGGGGGCAGGGTCACCCACCATAATACACAGAGTATTTCAGCAAATTCAGCTTAGGTATCACTCTTCTCCAAAGAATGTCAGCTTGGCCTGTAGGCCTTGACCTCCCCTCTGTCTTCACCACCCTCTCCCCCATCCCCACAGCTTTCAGCTCTGCTTCTTCCTCTGGCTCCTTTATTAGCAGAATGGATTTCTCCTTGTGAAATCCGGCTGCCAGCCCCATAGGTAGACCCTAAGGATTCCTTTTAACCTGCAGAGGGCTTCGCAGTGCTATAAAACATCTGCCCAACTTGCTTTCTGTTCCTACAAAGAAATTCTCCTGCCAGCATTTTCTCCAGTTGTTCCATTTTTGTATGGTAAGTGAGGTATGCAGTGAGTTGAGACCTCTTGGTTAAAGAGTCCTGGAAGTACAGTAAAGTTAAGGACACAGGTGCTGGAGGTAGACAGCCTGAGCTCTGATCCCAGTTTCTCTTTACTAGCTGTATGATCTTGGACAGGTCACCTGTTCTCTCTGGGCTTCAGTTTTCTAATCTGTAAAATGGGATTACTAATAAAGCGTACATAGTAAAGTTGTTGTAAAGATTAAGAGTCCATACAAAGGGCCCAGAACAGAGCTTGGCACACAGTAACTGCTCAGTCAATGCACTGTTATTAGTCTGGGTACAGAGTGTTAGATGGGAAGCAGCCTGGTGTACCGGAAATGTTCCACTCAGGTTGGACTGCATTTGTTCCCTAGACATTCCATTCACTTTTCCTACATATAGTTTTACGCCTGTTGTTAACTTCACATGAAGTAAATAGCTTTCTGCATTTTCACTTGTCAAATTCCAAAATGTTTTGTTCTCCCTAAACCATTCCTGATCTAGCCTGTCTGAAATAATCTCTCCCACTGACTAGCTCTCAGCAGATTCTGCTTTGTATTGTAGTTGCATGTCTCATCGCCCTTTCTAAAGTAAGCTCCTTGAAGCCAAGTGCCATCTTTTACTTGCTAAAAGTCTGTTATTAAATATAGAGGGTAAATTCCCATGTAACTGACCCTTTTTCATTTTTCATTCTAGATGGCGACTGCAATAAACCTGAGGAAAGAAGGACCAGGGAGGCAGCGAAGGGGATAGCCTGTAGACCACATTGGTTGTTGGCAGGGGCTGCCTTTGGCAGTCTCATGTTCCTCACCCACTGGATTTTTGGAGAGGTATCTCTGGTTTCCAGATGGGCAGTGAATGGGCATCCCAATCCAGGACCAGATCCTAACCCATTTGGGTGAGTTTGGGTTTGGAGGCCATTAAGAAATTGGTTGTTATGGCTGAAGGGAGAAACGCCTTGTTTGTTGAGCAGCTAGATCTGTGCCAGCCAAATGTTTGCTATTTTGTTTACTGTAGATATCAGAAATGTGTCATGAAATTATCGTGCACTCTGGAGATGAAGGATCCAGAAAAGTATTTGCCCCAGTGCTGAAGGATTACTGCAGAGTAGTTGAGGGAGGACGGAGGATTGTGCATAGCTAAGTAGGAGGTTCTGGGAGCTCCAATATGGGCACTCTGAGACTTTGAGGAATCTTCACAGAGAAGACCATTCTCATGGAAGAGAAAACATGGTGTTCCCTGGCCACTTTCTCCCTGCTACAGTTGTGGGCATTTGGAAGGACAAGACCAGAGGGCCCTGATGAGAGACCAAGTTAGCAGCTTGGGCACAGTTCATGATTCTTGGCAAATGAGGGAAGCCCAGGGAGAGCTCTGCATCCTCTGGCACTTTGGGACCTGCACCAACCACAGGGCACCTGAGGAATTAGCGGCCTTGAGTTTAAGTGTTGGTCCATGTGCTTGGTCCTCATTAATCCTTGCTCAACTCTTCCCGACACCTGTTTTCTTCCATGCCTAGGTCCAGGCTTTCATGTTAAAAGATTGGAGAAATCCTTAAAACATCTGCCTCTGATATCTATTTTCTCGTATCGTGCTGAAATTCCCATATTTGGAACATGCAGCTGCCTGCTGGATCTTCTCCCAGCAGATATCTGGACATATTCCTCAGGTGTCTCAAACTCAGCATGTCCATGTCTCAACTCAGGAGTTCCCAGTCTCCAAACATGCTCTTCCTCCTCCATGCTTTGGTTCACTCTGCCTCTCCACCCCATCATCCTTGCCAGAATCCAGCAGTCATCCTGGAATTCTGCATCTTCCTCATTTTCTGCATCTAACTGGGCCTTAAGTGTAGTTGATTTTAGTATTTCTCTTAAAGAATCTATCCCTTTCTTCCTGTGTCCAGCCATATCTGCTTAGTGGGGTTATCGCCATCTTTCCGGGCTATTGGTACTGTCTACTGATGCTCTCTCTCCGGTGTGGCCTTCTCTGCACTGCCCCAGAGTGAGCTTTCTAAAATGAAAATCTGACTCTGTCACTCCTTTGCTTAAAACTTGATTTTTCCCCCTCTCATATCAGGTCACATGAGACAGGGTCTGCACACGCCCCTCCCTTACTTTTACAAGTGATCCCTACCTTATCCCTGTGCTTCACCTGAGCCGAAATAATTTTCAGTTCCTTAGAAGTGCCAGACTAGTCCAGTCCCCCAACTGCATGTACATGGGCTGCCTTCTCTGCCTGGACATCCTGGCAAGCTCTTACTCACCCTTTACAGCCCACCTCAAGCGTCTGCTCTGTGAAGTCTCCTCTGTTTATCTCCAGGATTCCTTTCTGCCTCATACTACCTTTAAGCTCCACCCCTCCCCTTATATCTCTTGTTATTATTCTGTATTACAGTTTTTAAAAATATTAGTTATTTGATGTCTTTCTTCCTTTCTAGACACCATGCTCCTTGAGGGCAGGGAATGAGAAAAAGAACTAATATTTATTATGTCTTACCCTGTGTTAGGCACTGAGCTACGAATTTTATTCGGAGTCTTTATCTTTTTGATCTAAATGCTCTAGTATATGTGGGAGGAAGGGTGAGAGGGAAGAAAGGCACAGGGGCAGAGAGTGGAAGGGAAGAAGTTTATTCTCATGTATTAAAGCTTCCTTTCCAAAGTTCCCTGTTGTGTGGGAGAGCAAAAGGAGAACTAGACCGGGAACCCAAGGCCACACTTGAGGACTGAGTCCCGACTGGCCACCAGCAACTCACTGTCTAAGTTTAAATAGTCACATTACATCCCTGGCCTTGTTTTCTCACTGTAAAGTGAGAGTTTCCTTTTCAGACATTTTCGTAATAATCCTGTATGTTGGAGTAAGACTTGAAGAGAGAGATGCAACTTACGAGACCAGCATTCCCAAACTGTTTTCTGTGGAACGCTGGTTTCTTGAGATGTTAATAACTACTCTGAAAAAACGTCTTCTAGATCGAATAGGCTTAGGAAATATTGCATTTCATATTCCTTTCTTTGTAGTTCACAATACACATTAGCATATTAGAGACTCTTGGGTGTTTCTTAAATTTACTGGAACATGGAATTCCTTTTTTAGCATACCTATTAACATCTCATAAAACTGGTATTTCTCAGAACCCCTGTTTGAGAAATACTGCATTAGACCATCATCACCCTTGACCATCATAGCAGGAATTACTTTCTAAAATTCACTAGGTTTTACTTAAAGGAATGGGGTCATGGATAAGTTTTGATGGGATAAAGAGGTGAGAGATGGAGAAGGAGGTGAGAGAGAGGCTCAGAGGTGCTGAAGGGGGCTGGGAAACCAAAGGGTCGGTGCAGGTCGTAGACCCCGTGGGAACGAGGGGGCAGTAGGTGTTCCAGTTTCCCGTCTGCACCCTCCCCACCCCCTTAGCACTCCGAACCCTGTTACTCTTACTCTTTTGTAGCGCTTTCCACCTTCTAATATCCTGCATTGCTAGTTAATTGTGTTTATTGTCTGTCCTCCTCCCCGCACTGGAGCTTGAGTCCTGTGGAGGAAAGAGATCTTTGTTCACCGATGTGTCCCAAACCCTAGAACGGAGCCTGGCACAAAGTAGGTCCTCGTAAACATTTGTTGTTGAATTGGGAATAGAAAAAGATCAGCAGTACCCTCCACAGCCCTTTGTCACGTCTGGTCTTCTGTGGATCCAGGATGACGCTTAACCTTAGGAGGGCAGCGGGAGCCTCACTCTAGATCCCAAAGGCCTTTTTGGGATTCTTGGTCCTACACATGCAACTGTGTCTGACCTCAGGCAGGTTCAGGTGCTCTTTCTCCCAGTGTCCACCTCTGAAAAATGGGGATAATAATAGCATTTACTTTACGGATTTGTGAGGATTAAATGAGCTAATAAGACATGTAAAAATCTAAAAAAAACTTGCCTTCTAAGTTATAAGTATTATATTTTTTTAGCTTAATTTATAGTATAGCTTAATTGAGTACCATGTCCTAGCTACTGTGGTTGCTGAATTTTCCCCCTAGAATTTAGTTAAATTCTTTTTTTCTTCCTCCTACAAGATTTTGTCAAAGTAGTGAAAGAATGAAATAGTGTGTGGTTGTTTTAAAAACACAACTATCAATTACTTATCAAACTGACACAGGTGCCAGGAAGGCAGAGACTGTAGATAAAAGCAGTATTGAGGTAGAGAAAAGAGAGGAAAGAAGCAAACTAAATAGAAACTATTCGCAATGACTTTTTCCATGGCCAGTGTGACTATAATTTAGTAGTCTGAGAAAACCCAATTACTCTGTTGACACTAAGCGTGAGAGACTTGCAGATATCATTTATTCCAAGTCAGAATTGTTGTTACCTCAGTGTTCCGAAAAGATATGACATTGGTTCCCGATGGGCTCTCATCATCTCATTGGTTGTTTCACACTCATATTATCTCCTGGGTGTACCTAGAGGTATTTTTCTTTTTTATATATGGGACAGTGAAATACGATTAATGTCAAATGTCTTATGGCATGTCTTTATTTTACAGAGGTGCAGTTCTGCTGGGTTTGGTGAGCGGATTGATGCTTTCAACTTGCTCATGGTTTCCTGGTACTAGTTTAATCTGGTGGGTTACAGGTATGTGGAATTTACCTGCAGATATGCCACTCATTCAGCTTGGTTGTCCAATTTTTCTTGCAAGCATGTACACCTAGAGTGGAAGTAGAAGACCAAGGCAGCCATACAAATCTGTGCGATTGCCGAGTGGGCTATTACAACAAGCTGCAGCCACCATAACGCAGATGTCACCATGATTACCAGTGACAGCTGGCTCCAGATTTCTGCCTTCCCCTATTTCATCTCCCCTTTCCTCCTACAGCTGTCTGATTCTGCCCTGACTATGCTGACATAATCTCCCCCATCTCCCAATCGACTTTTACAAGGCATATGTGTCAGGTGCCTGCAGATTTACCGGAGGTCTGAGGAGATGGAGGGTTGCATGTCACCACGTTGCCAGACCTCCTCCCCTCTCCAAGAATCCTTGCTCTCTGGTTTTCAGGAGTGTCCTCCTTTGGGGCTCCATGATGAAGTTCATTTTCTCTTTCTCTTGTACGTGTAACAGTTTAGCTTCTCACACTTCTACGCAGCTTTGGACCATCTCCTCCCAGTCATACCCATAAGGATCACAGAATATTCCTGAAGGCTGTCATACTTCAGGAGCAATCTACTTATTTTCCTATGGCTAAATTCTGTCCCTTTTCCCTTCCTCTTAAAAGGCAGAGATGGTTTCAGTGTTAAATAAAAAAAATTCCCCACTGTGTGACAGAGCAAACACTATATTTGCTTTCCGTGAGGAGAGATATCCTTATACACATCAATTAAGCAGGTGAGCCGGAGTGCTGCACTAGATGCTGTGTGTGGGTTTGTGAGACAGTGTATCGGTAACATTGGTTGAATAACACAATAGGTAAATTTCTGTACACCTTAAGCACCATCACCCTTGCAGGAGATGTATGTGTAATTCCAAAAGGTTGTTCGATAATGAGGATGACCCAGTTTTCCTCCTAGAGCTGTGTGAGTGACTGCAGCTGGTTGAGCTGTTTTTCCTTTTGCTTGTGTATTTTCTAGTAGGCATCCCCTATGGGGTCTATGGAAGTTTGTATGAATATTGGAGTAACCTTTCTTCTCATCAGAGAGACGCCTCATGAAATGCCTCAAGAAAAGGGCTAGATAACTTTGTTAATACTGACTTTGCAATGAGTATATAGCTTCTTCATCTGTATGCAATTGGGAAAAGGAACATGAAATATGTTGAAAGTTTCTTCAACATTTATATTGTCTTTTCTCATGGAATATATGCAAGATGCTTATTGGGCAAATATTAGCATCTTTATTTCAAATATGGGAAAACTTAGGTTCACAGACACATTAACTTAGTTAAAGAACAGAAAAGCTGTGAACTTAGTGTTATGCTTATATTTATTTCCCTAGATAGAAGGTCATACCCTTGAGAGTCAAACCTGATCTAGTTTTGCAGTCTCTCTAGAGTATTACATAGTAGTTTAAAAGACTCCAGGGGCAAGCAGATTTAAGGCACCTAATAAGCTATTTGCAGCAGATAGGAAAGCAGGGCCATAATTCATGAGCTTCATCTCCTTCTCTGGTCGCCTGCTCATCTGAAATAAGCTGGAGCTCACACCTAATTATCTAGGGATAGTGCCCACTTTTCATGTGATTCATCCCTGGAAACCACATCATAAAGCAGAGTGTAGAAAGAGAAATCTTATTTTTTCATTGTACAGTTAAAGTTTGAAATCCCAACTGGTTCTCAGTATGAAATTAATTATGGAAACAACCAATAGAATTTCATAAACACAGAGAACTGAAATCTTGATGGCAATTAGTAAAATCAAAGTTTTATTTTAAAAAGGACATAGATGTACTCAACACATCCAGAAGACCCCAGTGCACCATATTAGTATGCCTAGTTTTACTATCTGAAAAATCTGATCTATTGAAAATGAACATATTAGACATAAATGTTATTGGGATGTTCAATTACCATTAATTCTGTTCAGTGTCTTAGATGTTGTACAGATTTGGAGGAAATTATTTGGAAGGACTCAGTCTCAAACAAAAAGTTAAAGTATATAATTAAGTGAAAAAGGCAAAGTGACTAAGAGTGTGTGTCATATGCCACCACTGGTGTAATGTGCATACATTGTTTTTTCTTTCTACACATAGGTTGAAAGGATACAGAAAATGCAAACCTTGGTTGCCTTTCCTAAGGGGAAGTAGCAAGTGACAACAGTCAAAGGGACTCTTTCCTACCTTTCAGATTTTGGATTTTGAATTTATAGCCTATTTAAAAATATAATTTTAGTGGATTAAAAAATATATAGCCTATGTAAAAATAGAAACTAAATTTAAAATAAAAAGCAATAGCAGTCAAGAGAAATTTTAAGAGCTGTTTTTTTTCCTTCCAGATAATTCTCTGTAGTAAGACAGAAGCAACAAAGTCTAATGCCTTTAGAATATCAAATTGACTCATTCTTTTAAAAAATAGTCATTGTAAGCAAGTAAACAGGAAAAATTCAATCTCACTAATAATCAAACAAGTGTAATTCAGAATATGATACCATTTTCATCATTAATTTGGCAAAAGTTTTTAGAAAAAATGATTTCGGCAGGGCTCAAAAGGTGAGACTTTTGGCAAAGTTTCTGGAGGAAATGAAGACCGGTATAACCTTTCAGGAAAATAATTGACTACAAGTAATGACACTTTAAAATGTTTTTACCTCTTGACCCAGTAATTGGACTTCTACGAATCTATTTTAAGGAACAATCAGAGATGTAGTAAGAGATTAATTGACAAAGAAAGATGTTCCTCACAGTGTTAGCAGCCTCGTCCATGGCCAACAATAGGGACATGGTGGCTTATGTTGTGGTGTATTTACCCAGAGTTATAGCGTATGTACATGAAATTGTTTGAGGAAAAAAATTAATAGCATGAGAAAATGTTCTTTCTATGTCACATGAGAAGCAGAATATAATCCTCAATATCTGGTATGATTTCATTTACATAAAAATATTTCTATATAGACAGAAAAAATTTTGGAGAAATATATTGGAGTATTGGCTATAGTCATCTTAGTCTTAGGTGATCCTTAATTGTTTCTGTATAGTTCTGTATTTTTAAAAAGTGAATAGTCATTATTTTTGTTTTATTTCAAAATGAAAAAATTTTTCCTGTTATTAAAATAACCATGTCTGATCTAAAGTGTTTGAAGGTCTCACTGTGGAGTTGAACTCTGCAGTTGTAGAGGGCCCTGGAATCTGGCTCTCGTGTTTATCTGAGTTACAGTCATCTGAAGTGGGGAGGAATAGTTAGTCACATGGCATTGTCTTGTGATGGTGCAGGTGGAACTTAGTGATGCATGTGAGCTGTGGGACACTAAGGAGCTGGCTGAAGCCACCTTCTGCTCCCCTCACCATTTTTTCCTGGAGATCTTGCCCCAGGCAGTGAGGAGTCTGCTATAGACACCCTTGAAGGGTGGGACATAGTGATACAACACTGATGGAAATGTCTAGGAAATATCATATTCTATGGAACTGTGTGATATCGATGGCTCCAAAATGGGGTGCTGTAAGACCATGTGTGCTTTCTCAAAGCTGATTTCACAGGAATTGGGAGAAATGTTAGATTTTCTTAGGATAGGCTCAACAAATTAGCAAAAATTTACTAAGTGCCTGCTGTGGACCAGGCAGATCACACAGCTCCCAAAGCTAGTAGGCTGCTGGATAAGGAATGGACTGACAGCAGAATTGCTAAAGCATCGCTTCTACAGTACTGTCAGCCACATCTGAGGGCTGCGTGGTTGGGAAAGTCAACTTATTTATTGTAGGACAAGGAGCAGCATTTAAATAGATGGAAGTTCCTTTAGAATGTTTCTTAACAAAAACGTTCTAGAAATCACACTATTCTACATGATACTATTTTTCTAATGTCCTGAATCTGGCTGGTTAAATTAAGTGGACATGATTTTGGTATTACAGGTAGTACCAAATTTTTTCAGTTTTTATTGCTCTTATGATCTTAACACAAATAACCTAAAAATGCCTTCTTCCCTCCCCACACCATTCCTGAAGAAATAGCACTGGACTGCTATTAAAATAGATTTACTAGACCCACATTCCATTTCCAGTTGTGCAAGTAACTATCTGTGTGACCATTAGCAAGTCACATTAACCTTGTAGACCTCAGGTTCTCATTAGTGTGGAGATCGGACCAGTGTGCCCCTGAAGTCTCTTCTGGCTCTAAATGGCTGTACATCGGTTGTCCTATAAGGTTATTATTCTTCCCCCTCTGCTTTTTTTTTGAGAAAATAGAAGAGCCTATGTATTACTACTTTCCTGTCTGAGTCCTGTTTTTTTCTCTTACCAACAGGAGCGGCTGCGGCTGCGGGTCTCTTGTACCTGCCCACGTGGGGAGCCGCTGTTTCTGGCTGTGTACTCGCCATCTTCACAGCATCCATGTGGCCTCAAGTGCTTGGACATCTTATTAGCTCAGGGTCAAGCCCTGGGAAAACCATGACCATTGCAATGATATTTTATCTTCTAGATACATTTTTCTGTGCATGGTGCACAGCTTTTAAATTTGTCCCAGGAGGTGTCTATGCTAGAGAAAGATCTGATGTGCTTTTGGGTGAGTACATGTGGATTAAAGTAATAACTACTAGAAAATACTCTTCAGGGCTCTCACTGTGATTTAGCACTTTACGCAACTGGTGGAAATAAATAGGATGATCTTGCCTTTCTCATTAAAACAGAATCTCTCGATTAAAAAAAAGAAATCACTGGAGAAATGGCTAAACTGCTACTTAAAAACAAATTTCTTATTTATCAGTGAGTTTCAGTATTATTTATTACTACAAAAGCCTTTTAAGTGAATTAGTTGTAAAAAAGCAGGTTTAAGTCATAATAAAGTATGAAAGAGGTACTATGTAACACTTGTATTATACGATATGTTGGGAAAAGTTGTGATCATTATGCTCACATTGCTATTTCAGTGGAAGGCATGTAATTATATATAGGAATTGTGATTTTTTTTTTTGGTTCTGAATTTTATCTGATTTTTATTTACCTTTTTTACCAATAAAATATATTTCGTATATATAAATCTTAGTGTGAACGAAAAATTCCCAAATCATAAATGTATTTTCCATTTCAGTGGTTATGAACTTATGTACAAAAATTAAAATGTCATCAGCTCACCTTAGTATCATACTTAAAAAATTTTCTTTTGGCAATAATGAAATTACTGCTGTACACCGGACATACACAAATCAAGTGTCGCATATTGTTTTAGTTTAAGTAAAACATAACAGATGCTTCCAGGATAAGATCTTTGAAAAATGAGGAGCCAGAAATTGTTAGTAGGGGGTTCTGTTCTTGTTTGCTCACACATTCATTTTTCCATTTGTTCATTTATTCATTAAAAAAATTGTTGCACACCTCCTGCGTGCACAATGCCTCATACTGGAGATTTAAGAGAAATAATGTCCTTGTCCACCTGAAGCATCAGTGTAGCAGGGGAAACACCATACACAAGTTAGACAAAGGCTTATGGAATCAGAATTGGGGCAAGAGCTGTGCAAAGCTCTAGGCTTCCGCGTGAGTCCCTTTGCAGATCTCCCTGTGCCCTTGGTATACACCCAGCTACTCTGTACTCTGTACAGTTTCACATAAACTTTTCTATTCCACGAGCTAGACGTCTGTCAGGACAGACTGACTTGGAAAATATATTTTTAAATTACATGAAATATTTAAAATAACAGAATTGGATATTTCTGGCAAATACCCTGGCTGCATTTCCTCTGTGATAATCTTGGCTTTGCAAACTTTGTATTTCTTCTGGTTTCTTTCAGGTCTGTGTACTCTGTCCTGCTATATCTTCCTGTCCAATGCCCTGCTTTTTTCCTACTGCCGCTTGCTTAGGGGGTCTACCATGTGGAGAAAACGAATGAAAGTAAGAGCCATTCTAAGCATAAGTTTATTTCTTTTGAATGTTATAAATGATGTGCTTTTTTGAGTTCCTTCTCAACTAAGAATTTTTTTAGTAAGAGTGGCATTATAACGATAAGGCATTATAATGATTAGAAATGTTGGTAATGTTCAGAGTAGCTTTTAATACAATTGAAAAGAATCTGTATTAAATTAGAAACTAGTTATAAATTTATTGTCTAGGTTTCTTTTGCTAGTTCCTGGAAATTGCACATAACTTTTTTTTTTTTTTTGCTAGCTTTCCATCTAAGCTTAACTTTTACGTGACATTTCCTAATTTATATATTGTTGAATCATACTTCTGTTTCCATCTTCTTATATACAATCTTAGACGTATGTAAACTTTACATGTAACCTACATTGTAATGCATCCCAATTGAGCTCAACTCTGTCGCCTGGCCTTATTGGCACAGTGTGAGTTCTAGCATGCATCCTCTGAAGACCTTGTGCCCAGAATATCCACATCCCAGGCCAGAAGTATTGCCACAAACACTGCCGTGTTAACCTGCATAGCCTCTTTTGTGCTCCTTGACTTGGTGCACGAGAAATCTCTTTAGTGGAGAAGATTGAGTCCCCAAGGCCATTCAGAGGGCTCCTTTCTCTTGTGCTCAACCCTCCCCTAAATAATCAACAGTCAGTGATGTACACTCTTGGCAACCTGACAACTAGGAAACAAGAAATTAAAAAAATCTCTCATCCAGATTCCTCCTATTTCTTATGATCATCCCAATGATCACAAGTAGTATTGGAGTAAATGCTTTGGTACTGAGATAACTTAATAACTGAATTTCCAGGGTGTGCCCATTTAATTGAAATCTTGGCTGCTGGAGTTTATCGTTAGAAGGATTTTGGGATTAAAATGTAATATATTCTAATATATTCTTTCTTTTTCTTTTAATAGGGACAGTGATGCTAATTATTGGGCTGAATATGCTATTTGGTCCTAAGAAAAGCCTCGACTTTCTTCAAACAAAAAATGGCCCTAAAGTGCTTTTCAGAAAGAGTGAAAAATACATGAAAATTTGTAAGTATGGTTTTGCTTTCTTTTTTAAAAAAAATTTTATTAAAAATATAAATTTTCAAACGTACGAAATTAAAGAGTATAATGAACCCTCATGTGCCCTTCTGCAATTCCAACAATTATTAACATTTTCCTAATGTTGTTTACAGCTATCTTCCTAATTTTTTTTTTTGGTGAAATATTTTAAGCAAATATTTGATATGTCATTTCAACCATAAATACTCTGTATTAGTTTTGTTTCACTTCTAACATAGATAAGATGATTTAACAGATACAGTTTTCAAAATGCTTTTTTCTAATAGTTGAGACTATTTATTCCATTTCTAGTTCTCCCTTTTTTAGGAGATTAAATATGTTAACTTTTGGAATATTGATGAACTAGAAACTCAAACCTGAAATTAGTTTACTATTCAGTATCTGACCCATTTCAAATGGACTGAATTAAGTAAAAATATTTATTGAATGTATAAAATTTGGAGCTATATAATGAAAACTATAAGACCCAATTAAAAGAGATGGAAGAAGATACAAAGAAATGGAAAGATATTCCATGTTCTCGGATTGGAAGAATCAACATAGTTAAAATGACCATATTACCTAAAGCATTATACAGATTTAATGCAGTCCTCATCAAAATCCTATCAGCATTTTTTAATGAAATAGAACAACAAATCATCAGATTTGTATGGAAGCACAAAAACCCTCAATTGCCAAAGCCATCTTGAGAGAAAAGAATGAGGCTGGAGGCAGCACTCTGCCCGACTTCAAATTATACTACAAAGCGACAGTAATCAAAATGGCATTGTACTGGCAGCAAAACAGACACACAGACCAGTGGAACAGAATCGAGAGTCCAGAAGTAAACCCTTATTTACATGGGCAAATAGTTTTCGCCAAAAACGCCAAAAACATACAGTGGAGAAAGGAAAGCCTCTTCAATAAATGGTGCTGGGAGAACTGGAAAGCCACCTGCAAAAGAATAACACTAGACTGTTGTCTATCACCACACACCAAAATTAACTCAAAATGGATTAAGGACCTAAATATAAGACCTGAAACAATAAAATGCATAGAAGAAAACATAGGAACTAAACTCAAAGACCTTGGACTTAAAGAAGATTTTATGAATTTGACCTCACAGGCAAGGGAAGTAAAAGCAAAAATAAATGAATGGGACTACATCAAACTAAAAAGTTTCTGCTCAGCAAAAGAAACCGTCAACAAGGTAAAGAGACAACCATCCGAATGGGAAAATATATTTGTAAACAACACCTCTGATAAGGGCCTAATATACAAAATATACAAAGAACTCATATGACTCAATAGCAACAAAAAACCAAACAATCTAATAAAAAATAGACAGAGGACCTGAACAGACACTTTTCCCTAGAGGACATACAAATGGCCAAGGAACATATGAAAAGATGCTCAACATTGCTAGCTGTTAGGGAAATGAAAATCAAAACCACAGTGAGATATCATCTCACACCTGGTAGAATAGCTATAATCAATAAGACAAGTAATAACAAATGTTGGAGAGGATGAGGAGAAAAAGAAACCCTTATACACTGCTAGTGGGACTGCAAATTGGTATAGCCACTATAGAAAACAGTATGGAGGTTCTTCAGAAATCTAAGAATTGATTTACCATATGATCCAGCAATCCCTCTACTGGGTATTTACCCCAAGGACTTGAAAACTCATATCTGAAACTCAGCCATAAGAAGAAATACTGCCATTTGCAACAACATGGATGGACCTCGGGATAATCATGCTAAGCGAAATAAGCCAGACAGAAAAAGTTGAAAATCACATGATATCACTTATATGTGGGATATAAACCTAAAAGCAACAAAGGAACAGGATAAACAGAGACTCATGGACATGGACTATATAGTCTAGTGGTTACCAGAGGTTGCAGGGGGAGGGGAGAGGTAGACGGGGTATAGGGGGTCAAATATGTGGTGACAGAAAGAAATCTAACTATGGGAGGTGAACACACAGTATAAATATATATATGCTTTACTGTTAAAGTGTACAGCTGAAACTTATTGGATTTTGTTAACCAATCTCACCATAAAAAAATAAATTAATTAAAAAAATTTTCAGTAGTGTATTAGGATATAATATATTCTATAACTACATAGTGTTATGTAGAATACAAAGTAAAAATTAGTCTCTATCCTCAGTGATTTGATACTTTACTAAAGACAAAATATTATAGTGTAAAAAGATAGAAAACAAGCTAAATAAAATTTCAATATAATTCTAAAAGAAATGTCACAAAACAGTAAGACCATTATATAAAAACCTTAATATATGTTCCATCAAAATTTGAGATTATATTAAAATTTAGGGGAAATTTAAAAATTTTAGAGTTTTGTTGGTGTGTTTTTATGTTTTAGTTATATCCCTTGAAACCAGGTCTGGCAGTTTTTGTTTGTTTTTAATCCTGACAGTTTTTGTTGTTTTTATTTATTATTCTTAAGAACCATAATTCTTTAATTCATTCATCAAATTAAGGCATTTGAAACAGTTTATTTGCAAAGCTGTTTAGACAATGTTATGTGATTTTTAAAAATAGTTTATTTTTAGAGCCATTTTAGATTCACAACAAAACTGATCAGAAAGTACAGAGCTTTCCGTATACCCTCTGAACTCACATACACACAGCCTCCCCCACTGTCAACATCCTTCAGCAGAGTGGTACATTTATTGCAACTGATGAACCTACACTGACACATCACTATCACCCCAAGTTCATAGTTTACATTAGAGCCCACTCTTGGTATTGTGCAGTCTGTGGGTTTTAACAAATATATAATGACATGTATCTGCCATTATAATATCATACAGTTTCGTTGCCTTAAAAATCCTCCATGATTTGCCTGTTTATCCCTCCATCTATGGCAGCTATTATATTTGTCTTTTAAAAATTTTAATAGATTTTATTTTTAGAGCAGGTTTAGGTTTACAGAATTATTGAGAGGAAAGCATATAATTCTCATATACCCCATCTGACTCCCACCTCCCCCCACAATTTTCACCATTATTAACATCTCACATTAGTGTGATACATTTGTTACAATCGATGAGCCAATATTGATAAATTATTATTAACTAAAGTCCATAGTTTACAGCAGAGCACTCTTTTTTGTTGTCTGTTATATGGGTTTTGATAAATGTATAATCTCATGTATCTACCATTCCAGTGTTATGCAGAATAGTTTTGCTACCCAAACATTCCCTGTGCTCCACTTATTCATCTTTCCCTCCCTCCTCTGAACTCCTTGCAACCACTGGTCTTTTTACTGTCTCCATTGTTTTGCCTCTTGTAGAATGTCAGTCTTTTAACTTCAGAGTTTAATCTATTTTTATTGTGACTTCTCATTTATTTGTATAATCTTACTATTCTTTTTCTTTTTCTACTTTCTCTAGGTATATTTTTTCCTTGTTTCTCTTCTTGCTTTCTTTGCAATAATTGTTCTTTTTTCCCTCCTCCCTACTTCTTTTTCTAGTTTGGAAATTATATTCTATTTGTTATTTTAGTAGTTGGTTATTTTTTTTCTCAGCACATTAAAGATATTCCCCTGTTATCTTTTACTTTTGCTGATGAGAAGTCAGCTGTTTTTGCTCCTTTGAAGTCAATCTGTCTTTTCTCTCCGGCAGCTATTAAGATTTTCTCTTTGTTTTGGCATTCTGCAGTTTCATTGTGGTCTATCTAGATGTAGATCCTCCTCCCCCCACCACCCACCACTCATCTTGCTTGGGAGTCTTTTTGGCTTTCTGAATCTAAGAGTTATGTCTTATCAATTCTGGAAATTCTCAACATTATCACTGTAAATATGGCCTCTTTTTCATTCTCTCTTTTCTTTCCTTTATGACTCCAGTTAGATGTGTAGGACTACTTATCCTCTTCCCCATGTCTAATAACCTCTTTCCTATTCTCTACCTTTGTTTTTAAGCTGTCCCATTGCACTAATTCTCTAGTTAGCTTTGTCTGTTCTGCTGTTTATCTTGTCCATTGAGCTTCTAATTTAAATTATAATTATATGATTTTATTTTTAGAAATCTATTGATTTCTTTACAAATTTTCCTGATCATTGAGTTAGTCTTATGTGCCTTAGTCATACTATTGAATGCCCTCTTTTATTTTTCTAAACATGTTAAGCATGCTATTATGAAAGTTCCAATATCTAAAGTAGTTGTGGGCTTGATTTTACAGGGTATTTTTTCCTGCTTGTTTCAGTTTTCTTGTATATTATTTCCTGTATATATTTATGATTCATTTTTACTTTAAGCTCATGGTCACTGGAATATTTTTAGGGAAGAGTCTTTGAAACTTGGTTTTAAAGTATGGTTTACATATGCATGCTGCACATGAAAATTAACTCAGGAATTAGACATTTCTTCTTTGCACAAAATCCTTGGTCAATAGGCTTCATAGTGTCATGAAAATTATTTTTTAAGCAAACTTAACTTCTTTTAAATAAGTATCTCTTCTTTCTGTTTAGTTTTGTGGCTGCTTGTTGGTGTAGGGTTATTAGGATTAGGACTACGGCATAAAACCTATGAGAGGAAATTGGGCAAAAGGGTAAGTAATTAAAAATATTGATAATTTTGTAAATATATATATTTATATATATACATTTGTACAGTTCACCATTATGATTGAACTGTAGACTTAAATCTAATGACCCCAGGGCCCTGGATCCCATCTCCATAACCCTTAGGTCAGAGGCTGATAACATAGTGGGATTATTTTATGAAGGTGGGTTCTTGGGACAGGATAGACCCATATACTAGAGGCAAACTGCTTATGATTTTGTTATATGAAGTTATTTTTGTCATCCCATGATTTAACATATCTAAACCATGAAATAAAGAATTATTTTATGATGGGCTGCTTTGTACTGTTTGGTAGATATTGCTGAAGGCAACAGTGTGAGATTCTTTGACTTAAGAAAAATCTTACAGATAATTGTTGATTTTGGAGATTTTGGGTAAATTGTGTATTGATGGGTCGTGGAAGTTTTCTTGTCTCTTTCTTTTCCGTCTTGCCGTCTACAGTTTTAAATGTTTTATTGATCCTGTCTCTTCTAGAAAGGTGGGGAGAAGCAAGAATAAGTCATTACAATGTTGTACTTTCTATCTGCTCCGATAAAAAGTTTCATGAGTTTCATAAAGCAGTTAGAGTTACAGTTTTGGCTAAGATAGATTTTACGGGTTAACTTTGGATTTTAGTAATCTGTATTACCAAGCAAATTTTTTATACTAAAGGAAAAGCCGTATTGAGGATGCAGGCAATGCTCCCCTTGTTTACCTTTGTACTCCTAGCACCTCACAGAGTGCTTGGCACATACTGAGAACTCAGTAAATATTTCTCGATTAAGTAAATAATTAATTACATGACCTTTTTCTTTTACCCTTTATTTATTAGTCATTATTACTGCAAATAATATCAGTCACAAGAAGGTACATAAAGCCAGCCAGGGATTCTTTTCAGAAGGAGTAATTTCAGTTGGATTTAATACCTTTTATTTATTCATTCATTCATTTGATAAATGTTTATTGAATGTCTCGTGTGCTTGGTGCCAGGGATACAGAGGTAAACAAGTTGAACAAGATGCCTGATTTCATGGAGTTTACATTCTAGTAGGGGAGAAAGACAGTATTCAGAGGAATACTGTCAAAGAAGGAATCAAGGATGACTTATTTTTCTGGCTTGAGTAACTGCATAGAGGGAGGTAGCATTTGCTAAGATTGGAAGAATGAGGGAATACTAGGTTTTGGAGTGATAAAATCCAGAGTTAATTTTACAAATATAGTCATGTGTAAAGCGAGAACTTGACAAATATTATGCTTCTTGAAACCTCTGTTGATGTTTCCATTCTCTTTAAATGACATTCACTAAACTGAATAATCTTTCTTATATAAAGATGAAATGCCCCACTCACTGCTGGTGGCACATTAAGCTGTTTATGTTGAGTAGCGACCCTCCTATGCAGAGAGGTTACTGTTTAACCTTCTCCCGACCTGAATTTGTATGGTCCACTTTAAGTAGTTTTTTTTTTTTTTCAGTTGTGATGGTGGATTTGTTCTAATGCAGCCTACTTTTCCACAGGAGCCCTGTTGTAGATCAGTAGGTATTAGTTTGAGATGGATGGTTAGGGTTAGGCAGTGCATTCTCTAACTGAACCCATGGACCCAAAAGAGGAACTTTCAAAGGGGACTGTGCTCCTGAACCTTGAACTTGCCAGGACAGTAGGGGAGTAACACCATTTATAAGCTGATTAGAATTGGTACATCACTTTATAAATATGTTAAAGAACTCTATGTATCCCTCTGTGATCTCATTCTTTTTCGGTGCAAGGGTAACCCCTTCCTGAATCTGGTGTTTATCATTTTCATCTATTTCTTTATATTGTTACAAAATATGATATATCCTTAGACAATATTGTTTTTCTCCCATGTTTGTAACTTTATCTAAATGACATCTGACATATATATTTTGCAACTTACTTTTTACTTAAAATTATCTTTGTGAGATTCATCCAAATGGAAATATGTAGCCTTAACTCATTTATTAGGACTACGTAGCGATCTGTTATGTGTTTGTGACACCATTTATTTTTTTATTTTCCTATTGAAACAACAGCCAGATTATTTCTGATTTTTTTTTTTGCTATTACAAACAATGCTTATTATAAATGTTTGCATTCCAAACATTCCCCCTGACTTCTAAGCTCAAGCTAGAAATTCACAGAAGATTATGAGAATACTATATTGCACATATCTCTATGAAATAAACGTGGGCAAGTGTGTAAGAAAATTCCTTTGCTGAAATACGAATTTTGGTGGAAAGAGGTGGAAAAACTGGGTCATGGAACCTGTCATTGTTCAGTCATCCTGAACTACCATTCAAACTATTTCTCAGGCACCAGCCACAGAGGTCTCTGCCGCCATCTGGCCTTTCAGGTTTGGCTACGACAATGAAGGCTGGTGTAGTCTAGAAAGGTCAGCTCAACTGCTCAGTCAAACAGGTAAGTCTTGCTGGAATTAGTTTTAGGTTTTGAGACTACCGTTGTTACTTTTATTTTGAGCAAGATCATAAGTAATAGGAGGAGGGTTTGCTGGGTCATAAAATAATCTCTTTTAAAGGCTTTACTTTGATGGGCAACTGCAGGAGGATTAAGCTTCTAACCACATCTGTCTTTGTTCAAGAGCAATTAATTCAGTTGATTCTGAACAAAGCCTCATATTGGGTATCTACAGGGGATTCTTGTCATGACTTTGCTCTTAGAGATGCTGCTGCTGGTGGCTCCTATCATTTGGGGACCCACTGCTGGGGACCAGAAAACTGTCAGATTAAAAGGCAGCATGGTTCAGAGTCATGCTCATTTGTGAAGCAAATTGCTTTCAAGAGCCTAAGGGGCCATTTTTAAGTTTTGGTGCCCAGTGGAGCTCATCTTTGTATGAAACATCCTTGAAAATATGTGGGCATTTGGTTCTTAGATCAACTGCAGGGAGCATGGAACAAGATACATAAAGGGCTGAACTATTCTGGTTATTCCTAATGATATGCATGTCTCCTGGGAAATTGCTGAGGGCATGTATGAGTCTAATGCTGCTGAGAAATTTCCTTGGCCTTCAGTCTTTTGGTCCTGAGTACAGGCCTCTGAGGCACATCTGGCCAGGGTCTGGAAAAAACAATATACTTCTGTGCCAGTATCATGAAGGTGTTTGCCTGAGAATGAAACACTATTGTGCAACACTCTATTGTTTTTGAACATATATCGAATGTTTGAGAAGGCATTAAGCTTACTTGAAATATGGGGAATGATGTTAAGAATATTTGAAAATTTAGAAAAGCTATGTTTTTATCCTCTCCTGCATTTTCTTAAGGTGCCCCTTGTATTAATTACATACTAAATATGGGAAAATTGTCTATAGCTCAGATTTGAGCCATTTCACTTTCGTGACCCTTCAGGAATTACTTTGTTTTTGATTTATGAGTAAAAGTTTGCTAACTGTTTTTGCATTACTGTGGTGAATCACCACGTGCATTTTTTTTTTTTTTTCCTGAACAGGGGCAGATTTCATAACGATTTTGGAGAGTGATGCTTCTAAGCCTTTTATCGGGAACAATGACTTAGCCATGTGGCTGGGGGAGAGGTTGGGCTTCTATACTGACTTTGGTCCAAGCACAAGGGATCACACTTGGGGGTGAGTGCACCTTGGGTGCTAATCTTGAACATAGTCCTGAAAGACTAGGCAGCATAGGCTTGGAGACTGTCAAACCTTAGTCCTATGACTGTGCTCCACTGATGCCTCTTGGAGGATGAGGACGTGTTGAAGATATACATGTTCCATGATTGTTTGAATGGTTTCCCTGTTACTGGATATTTTCAGTTCTTCACTATTATAAACCATTGAAGGTAGGTGCTGAGATTATAACAGTAAGCATGTCTGACCTGAATGCTGTCTTCATGGAGCTTACATTCTAGTGTGAAGAAAGAAAATAAACATGTACACAAAGAAGTAAATAAGATAGTTTGAGCTAGTGATTAAGCGCTATGTAGAAAAAGAAGCAGGCTACCGAGAGAGAAAGTACTGGGTGAGCAGGGGCAACAGGGGATGCTCATATAGGTAGGATGGTCAGGAAGGTCTCTTGAAAACCTCGTGATAAAGACCCAAGACCCAGCTGTGGAAAGAGCTGAGGGAACCACCAGGGTAAAGACTTGAGGCAGAATCAAGCTTGGTGTGCCTGACGGGGGGCTGGTAAGAAATGAGGGCCAGGCGGGCACCTGATCTTAGAGAGCCCCATAATCTGTGCTGAGGACTCGATTTAATTCCGTTGTGATAGGAAGCTATTGGAAGATTTAAGACAGGAGTGATCTGTTCTGACTTATATTTTTAAAAGATCATTCTGGCTATTCTTGGAAGAACAGATTGTTGGCAACTGGAATAGGCGCAGGGAGACAGATGACGAGGTAGATGGACTAGCACAGGTGAGAGATGACGGCGGGAGCTGTGGAGATGGAGAGAAGGGGGCAAATTCAGGAACTGTTTTGGAACAGAGTTGACAGAACTTACAGATGGTTTAGATGTCAGGGGCCTGGAAGTGAAGCACCAAGGGCAACATGTAGGGTTTTGACCAGAATACCTGATAGGAGATGATGCTGTTTGATGGGGCTGGAACGACCAGGAGAGTAGCAGGATTGTGCTATGTATGAGATGGCCCCGGATAGTAAAGTGACGCCCAGGAGGCAATTGTGGGTAACCTGGAGAGCCGAGTAGGACAGGACACGCTGGACCTGTGGATCCAGGCACCATTACTGTAGAGACGGCCCTGTTGCAGGGCCTGCATGAGGGGGCCAGAGAGAGAGTGTGCATGCAGCCGGGGACGAGGGGCCGGCTGAGGCCGAACTCCGCTCATCCTTTTCATATGTAGTTCTTTGATTTACAAGTGAGGCAGACCATGTTTTCATATTGTTATTGGACAGTTTTTAATTTTTAATTTAGTAAATTGTTACATCATGGCTTTGCTGGTGAGATCGTGCATTCACAAATGTGTTAATATTAGAATTGTTTATGCAAATATGTTGTCAGAGTGACAATGCAGGTAAAATAAATTTGGTGTATTACTAATACTGCCCTTTTTGTGTCTCCAGTTAAAGTGCTGTGCTTAGTGACACAGTGAGACAGGCTGAATTGCAGAGATGCAGGGAACTGACAAGCCAACTGCCATATTATTGCTCTGAATGCCCCTCAGTGGGATGCTTGAAGTGTGACACATCCCTTTTTAACACATTTGCTTACTCCTGTCTGCATGATGTTGCCGGCCCAACAATGATGTTCCTTTTCATTCCTATACAGGATTATGGTTTTGTCAAGATATCCCATTGTGAAATCGGAGCATCACCTTCTTCCGTCACCAGAGGGCGAGATTGCACCAGCCATAACACTGACTGTCAACATCTCCAACAAATGGGTGGATTTTGTTGTGACACACTTTGGGAATCATGAGTGGGTGTCTTTGGTTTATCTAACAGTACACAAATGCCAAGAAATATTATTAACACATTACTTTGATTTCTGTGCAGTGATCTTTCTTACTTCTTTCTTTTCACCCCAAGTATTTTATCCTGTGTTGCTGCTTTTAAAAATCACCTGAAGAAACATTTGAGAGGCAGGTGGTCCTTAGCGGTGGTAGAGGGCAGCAGTGACGGCCATGTTAGCCAGCAGTTACCAAGCAGATGCTGTGCTAAGTAAATTATTGTATTTAGTCTGCATTTTGTATAAAGTAAGTACTATTATGGCCCCATTTTACAGATAAAGAAACTAGACTGAGAGAGGTTAGATGACTTGTCCAATAGGGTCACATAGCTAGGAATTAGGTTAACTAGACGGTAGAAAAATAAAATTTCCTTTTCCTACAGGCTTACTACAGTTGGGACTAAGGTTGGGATTTGAGAGTACTAAGTGACATTCTATTTTCCCTCATGTTTTCACAGTCAACTAATAGGTAAGCAGAGGTATCTGGCAGGGAGATCAGAATGCCACTTTTAATTCTAATGCATCTATATGGACCTGCTAATACATCCCTTGATAATACATGACACTGGCTCTCCAAAAACAGCAAAGCTACCCATCAGGGGCAGAGTTTGCCCTGTCAAGCTCTTGCCTTGGTCAGTAGAATAAGCCAGAAAATAGCTTGTCTGCAAACGGGCAGTTTCCAAGGAGAAGAGAGAAGAAGGATTTGAGACAAGCCTGCCCAGTTACTTCTTCCAAACTTAATTAATTATAAAAATCCTTCCCAAAAGTAAAGGGTGGAGAGAGAGAGAGGCCAAAGATAGCTTTCCAAGAAAGTCCCTCTACAAGGAGACATGAGGAATGGAGAATGAGTTTTATCCCTAAAGAATAGTTTTCACAACCAGTGACTTGACTTAGTACTGAGTAAATCACAAATAATGCCAAGAATATATTGTAAAAGCAAAGATAAAGGTAGATAATTTATACTCTACCATAGTAAACACACTGTAATAATAATAGAAACACTGATGTCAAGTGCTATAAAATAGGGCATACAGATCCTATCCACATTAATAACACAAGAGGCCACCAAGCTTTAAAGTGACATACAGAACATTAGAAAAAACTTTGTCGTAGTATAAGTTTTACCTAAACAAAACGTGTCTGCTACTTTTATTTTCCTGGTTACTTTGCTTTTTCTCACAGTGTTATGTGGCTCTGTGAAAGTATACTTGCATACTTTCCAAAATAAGTCAGAGTATAAGTAATATAAACAAGCCATCCAAAGTAATTAATGTGAATCATTCGCTAATCAGACTCTTGCTTGCCTCAGAAATAAGAATGTTTGGAAGATAGATGATACAGATAGTTCATTTTCTCTTTAAAAAAAAACTGTTTGAAGAAATGCCTTCTGTTTCCCCCAGTAATTTTCATGTAGCAAGTATAAGCATTCAGAACTCATTCTACTGACTTTAAATTGCACTTGAATTGGGTTTATTTTTTTTAAATAGGCACTTTTATGTTTAAAGTTTGCAAAGTTTAAACCTAAGAAACAGTTGAATCCACTCCTTTCCTTTTTCCCTTTGCTTTCCCCACCACCTCCTTCAACTCCCTCCAACCTCCTCCGCAATATGAAGAATAGACTTGAAAGGGAAGAGAAGACTAAAAGACAGCCCTCAGAATGTCTGGAAAAGAGGAAGTATAGCTTTGTCTAACTGCCTGTTAACCACGTCTGTAAAGCTCTCTGATGAACACCATATCCTTTACTTGCTATCTTACTTGATTTAATAATAATGACAACATCAGCGGTAGCAATAGTAACTGACACTTACTGAGATCTAACTCCTGGGAGGGAGGCAATGTAGCCTAAAGGTTAAGAGTGTGGAATTCCAAAACCTGGAATCAGACAATACGGCTTGAATCCTAATTCAGGAGTATCCTTCACTAATTATTTAGCTTGAGCCTCAGTTTTCTCATCTGTAAATTGGGAGCAATAATCTTGCCTATTTTATAGGGTTCATGTGAGAAATGAGATGTATTATCTCATGCAAAGTATACAAATATAGTAAGTGCTCAGTTAATGCTGGCCATTGTTATCAAACCAAATCAGACAACTCTAAATGTAAAGTACGTCAGGCAGCTTAAGAAGAATTCATTCATCAAGCACAAATCAAGCACCTGCCGTGTCTGAAGCACAGTCCATGTCCCCACAAGTGACATGAGAAAGAACGTGCTTCGAATAATTTGTGAGACCACATTACATGTTTTCGTTTGCCTTGTTCTCCAATACTAAATAAATTCTTACTGTGAATAAATATTTAGAGATTTTATTTTTCTAGTGATTATGGCACACAAATGTGAAATATCAGGAATAAATTACAGAATGCTTGTGCATGTAATTAGCTGATTCAATAAAATTTTTTAAATTGCTGACTACACAAATATCTCCTTACAGCCAATAAATAGGAAATAGCAGTGTTTCTTAGAAGTCTTTAGGTACACATCACTTTTTATTCAATTTTAAGCCATTAACCGAGCCATCAGTTAATCACCATTTTGTATTTTTATCTATAACATGCATACATGTGCAAAGGGGAAAGAGCACAGAACCTGTAGTTTGAAGACCTATGTTCTAGTTTTGGTTCTGCTGTAACATAACCTCAGTGAGTTTCAGTCTTCTTATCTCTGAAAATTGGATAAAATTCTCTTTTTCAGCCCACATGATAATGTTTATAGGGCTAATCAAATATTAACAGATAAGAAAACAGAAAACGTATGTATTCTCTCTCTCTCTCCCTCTCCCTTATATCCATACATATATTTTCTATTTTTCTTTTTATCACTGAATAAGATTTATCTCCTGAGAAACTATAAGACCAAATTCATAGATTATTTTCCAATAATATATTGCTAAAATATATTTATATGAAAACACTATCTCTGTTGCAGTGACTTTGGGATTTTCTATACCTAGATTTAAATCCTAGTTCCATGTATCAGAAGGAACAGAATTCACTGCAGACTTAATGGACTACTTACCAATACGTTGGAAGGCTAAAGGAACAGAGAAGAGAGATGCTAAGGCACTCAGACACTAGTAACAGTGGGAATCATTACCATCCTTAGGGAAGGGCAGAGGAAATAGTGTTCCCAGAGGGAAATCTGGAACCTGGAAGAGAGGCCACCAGGCACGGGGAATGTAGCTACTGCCAGAGGGGCTGCGGAAGAAATGCCCTGACTTCTCTTTCCTCCAACTTTTCATCTCCTGCTGGTGCCTCCTGTTGGCCAAACATAACTGGAAGTCAGCAGACAAGGGAGCCCAGGAGATGAAATCTGCAGGGGTCAGACTCCAAGGGCATAGAGAAGGGGCAAGAATGGATCTGCTGCATAGGGGAGACGGAAAATAACCATATGCATGTTAATCTCATTTAAAAATAGAGCTAAATGCCACCTTTCTCTCAGTTATGAGAATTCAGTATCAAAGATGTTAAACAAATGGTCATTCTTTTCACGCTTCCGTTTCTTGAGATACCTTTTAATAGTACTCAGCTGTCCACACATACATATCTGAGCTTAGACCTGTCTTTAGATCCTACCTTAATGAGGTTTCTCCAATCTTCTTGGTCCTCGGGGGTCTCCTTCTATCTTCCTTTGTCATTGCTTTCTTTCTTAATCAATCATTCATTAGCTATCTTTCTCGGTAAATGCCTGTGTTTGTTTTACTGCCTGTTTGCTCTTGGATCCATTCCTGGGTTGTCTTCCTCTCAGCTACACATTGCAGGGAACCACATTTTCCAGAGTTTGTTGCCTTCTGGCTTCTGGGTAGGTGTAGCCAATGGGAGGCATAGTGCAAGGTTGCAAGGCAGGAGGAGGGGAGAAGCCAGGGTGTTTCTCATCCTCTCTCTGCTTTCTCTGGTGCTTCGCACAGCAGCTGAGTATCTTCTGTGGCCCCAGGTCCTTCCAGGCAGCCTCCTCTAGAGTGCCATCTCCCACCAGCCAAGGCTAGCTTTTGGACTCTGAGAATATCATCTCCTCGTGTTGTTTCTCTTGCTCTAGAGGTGATATTGGCTTCTCATTGTTGCTAAACTCTGGTTGCCTCACTCACTGCCGTTTGGCTTCTCATCACCTAGGTAACTGATTCTCTATATTAAGTTCACTTTGTTTCAGTTTTTCTGGCTGGATCACATTAAATATGATGGCCCTAGTTTTCTTCAAATAGATTGACTGTAAACCTGCCAAAAGCTTGATGAACCTGCCTAATTATTTCAGTTATATATTGACAGTGCTTAGAATAATAAAGTATCCTGTTTAGCTAGAATTTGACCAGGAGAGCCTCTTTTAGAAAGTGTTCATTTGAGGGAGCTGAGTAGGTTACATAAGCCAGGTATGTTCTGTGAATGTTAGGATTCTCTATCAGTCTTTAGCTGCAATACTGATTATCAGGTCTCAGATCAGTGACATAATTTCTTCTGATGAAAAGTTGAACAAATGCTGTTTTTAAAATAAATATTTAAATCCACTTGACTCCAAATGATTTGTGGGGGAAAATCATGTTGTCCTTAGTCAAAAGTTTGTCAGCCTACTCAATTGAAGCACTGTATCTGGTTCATTTCCATAACATTAAGACATTTGCCCAAGTAGGAATTATTCTGGGTTTGTGCTCTACTGAAGATATTTTTTGGGAACTTAGGTACCTGAGATGTTTAAAAAATTGTTTTGCAATACAAAAAATTTACATTTTTACATTTTTCTTAGAGATGACCTAGACAGAAAACTTCAGGCTATTGCTGTTTCAAAACTACTGAAAAGTAGCTCTAATCAAGTGATATTTCTGGGATATATCACTTCAGCACCTGGTTCCAGAGATTATCGACAGCTCATTGAACATGGCAATGTGAAGGTAATACAATCTTAAAATCTTCTTCATTTTTAAGTGGGGGGCGAAAACCCCAACAACTTAATATGTATTCCAGTTGCCTACTGCTGCATAGAAAAACCACCAAAAAATGTACTGGCTTTAAATAACAGCAACCATCTATTTACTCATGTACCTGCAACTGGGACAGTGCTCAGTGGGGATAGCTCATCTCTGCTCCGTGAAACTAGGTGGCTCAGCTGGGGACTGCAGATGACTCACAGGTAGCATGTTGGTGCTGGCTATTGACTAGGAGCTCAGATGGGCTTTTGGCTCGGGGCCCTGGTTTCTATCCATGCATGGGCTGCTTGGGCTTCCTTGCTGCATGATGCCCAGGTTCCAAGAGTAAGTGTCCCAAGAGAACCAGAAAGAAACTGTATTGCCTTGTATTACCTAGCCTTATAAGTTATATAGTGTGACTTCTGCCATTGTTGCAGCGTGCTCACATTCAAGTGGAAGACATATAAGACCCATTAAAGGGTATCAAAATCACATTGTAAGAATACTGTACAGAAAGTGAGTTATTATAGCATGTTTCAAAAATATAATCTGCCCCATTATGGAAGTTAATTACGATGTCAAGAGTAAAAAGTAAAATAAAATGGCAAAGAGGCTGGCTGATCAGCTAGACGGCCTCAGGACTGCACTAGTCCTTACCTATTCATGTCTAAAACGCTTGAATTTGTCAGTGCACTTTGGGGAACTGACACAAATCAAATCTGAGACTGACACATACACCAAAATGCTAACTGCATTAATTTATAACGAGAAATACCATTGTTATATTTAGTTAAGCATCATGTAGATGTCTTAGTCCTTTACATTTTGTTTTCTGCTTCATGACTTGAAATAATATCTGCAGAGAGAAAAGGTTATTCATCTTATCAAGTGCTTGGAAGGACAAGTGAAGGAGAACGGGGCATAATGAGGGTATTCTGCATGTGACAGAAAACACAAAGTGACAGTGGCTTCAATAATAGATAAATGTATTTCTTTTCTTTCTTTTCATTTTCTATTTTTGGCTACAGAAGTCTAATACTTTATGTAAAAGTCTGGGCAGGTGATTCAGCACTGGTATGACACTCTGGTGTCAGGAATGTGTTCCTTCTATCTGTGGTTCCACTTTATGAGGCTTCCATTCCCAAGTTTGCCTCATGGTCTAAGAAGGCAGTATCCATGTTCTAGTTAGCAAGATAGAAGAGGGGATGAAGAAGGGCCCAAGAGTATAAACAAGTTATCTCTGAAGGGAAATTCTAGGAAACTGACCCCCAACACTTGTATTTACCCCTGATTTAATGTGGCTATCATGGGAGTGATGGATGAGGGAAGAGAAGGCAGATTAGTTCAGAAAAGAGATTAAGGAGAGGTCAGAGAGTAAAAAGCATGGAGAGTGTGGAATCACAGAGGCTGCATCACTCATTTACCACTATGCAACAAACCACCTCAAATCTAGTGGCTTAAAACAACAATGGTTTAATATTCTTATAATTCTGTGGGTGGACTTGGTGGTTTTCTGTTCTTGCCTCTGTTCACTTGTACAGTCAGTTGATGGCTTGGCTGTGACTGAGGGGACAGGTCTAAGATGGCCCCTCTCACATGTCTGGGGCCTTGGTGCTGGCTGTTGGCTGGGCCTCTCTCTCCATGTGGTCCATTATCATTGACTAGCCTAGCTGGTGCTGCATTTATCAGCTGTGTGACCTGGGGCAAGTTACATAACCTTTCCGGGCCTCAATGTCTGTATCTGTAATGTGGTGATAGCACACCTTATTGTATTGTAAGGTTATGATGATGAAGTATAAGCAAACGTCTGCAAAGCCCTCAGCCTTGTATGTAGGAGGCACTTAATAAGTGGTGGCTAAAATATATGCATGATGCATGTCTGACTATGTATAAAATCGAATAAGATAAATGTATAAGTACATAGTCTATGAAGTAAAAAGAATGTTAGATAAGATGATATTTGGCAAGTCTAAGGAAAAATTACACTCTTATAAGAGGGAATTCTCACATTGTATGTGTATAAGTGTGTGCGTGTGTGTGGTGTGTGTGTGTAAGGCATATGCATAGTGTTGGGGAAGAGGAATTTGATTTGATTTTTATTTAATCATTTCTTGGTTTCTGCGATTATGGTCAGAAGCTGTATCAAGATTGGCAGTGGATTCTTATATAGCTTTTTCTATCAAGAAGTTTATTAATGCAGAGAGTGGTTTTGGTCATAAATGCTTGGATGAACAGATTTTTCTCTTTAAGAGATGAGTATTTAAATTCTACAGTCTTAAAATTTGACAGTATCTTTTTAAAACCTAATAAAATGACAGTTAAGCATATTCAGTTTATTATTTCAAGTGTATACAGCTAAATGACTAAATTTTTATCTTTCCAAGGCAAACCAGAACAGTCCTTTTTAAAAATTTGTTTTATCACTAAGATTTTTGTTTAAATTTTAAAATTTATTACAATTTTTATGTATACATATATATAAATGTATATATATGTGTGGGAAATAAAATAGTAAAGATTAATTAACAAGTATCCATATGTCTACCACCAAGCTTACAAAAAAATTAAGAAATAGCTAATAAATTGTGGTATATTCTTTTTGTGATTTAAAAATGTTTTAAATCAAATTTTAATAGTAAAATTGATAAATGGTTAAAAGTTGGGTATATTTTTTATTTATAGGATTTTTAAAAAGAAGAAAATGAAAATTTCTTTGGTATAAAATCTCCCTCCATATTTAGAGTTTTCCCAACATGCTATAGAAAAAAAAAAATGTATATTCTGCTTCTTTGATGAAAAACCACCCTGGTCTCAAGCTTTCAACATCAAAAAGACTCATGATTATTCCGCAAATGTGTTTATTTCCAGTGATTCAATTTAACAAACACAGACTGAGTGCCTGCCAAACGCCAGGTTTCATGCTAAGTACCAGGGAGCCAAAGTGATTAAGAATTCCTCAGCTCAGGAAGGGGAGGGCGGCGACATATAAATAAATAACCGTACACAGTGCAGCTGGTGTGCATATGTAGGATGACCGATGAAGATTCAGTAAATTCTGTTTGAGATGAGAGACTTGGAAAACTGCAGGGAGCCAGGGACTGGATTGTAATTGTTGATTTCTCTGCCTAACTCCCTCTATAGACCATGTTCATCTTTGTACTCTGAGCGTCTAGTACAAGAGCTGGATGGACATATGGCGGTGCTCCAGATATATCTGTAGGATGAATAAACAATTTGGGCCTTAAAGGATCAGAAGGAGCCAGGCAGAGCAAATAGCATGCACAAAGGCATACTTATTACTGTTGCTTACACATTTTTTGGCAGTTCAGAATAGAGCACTGTTTTATGCTTTAAACATTCTCTTCTCTGTTTATTAGGATATTGACAGCACAGATCAAGACAGATGGTGTGAATACATTATGTATCGAGGGCTGATCAGGTGAGCATAGGTGTTTGATTTTTTTAAAAAATCTATTATTACTGTGATCTTTCAGGTCTATCCTGGAGGGAAAAACTTTATGGAAGCAGTTAATTAATTTTATTACTTTTTATAAACATTGATTTGGCTCATTATGTAGTTTAACATTTTTTTCAAGTCATAGCCATTATAATGATTTAAGAAGGAATAAATGGCTAAGCAAATTAAGCTTAATTATACATAGAGGACACTATATAACCTATTAAGTATGATAAGTATGATATGGTGTAAACAGCATGGACCATGGAATAAAATAGCACTGGGCTTGAATTCCAGCTTTGCCAACTTCTAATTATGCAATCTTGGTAAGTTAACTAACTTGTTAGAGCCACTACTATATTGTGGTGAGGTCTCTAGGTAAATTATATTTTAAAAAAATATCATCTCATATCAAAAAAATGAATATTTTATGTATATTCCAAAATATATTGTGTGAGAGGCAATTTGTGTAGACAGAATATTCATTAGTATAAAAAAGGAGAGTAAGGTTGCCAAGCGTGTTTAGTTAATTAAATCTATGTCATATTCCTTATCTATTTATATCATAAAAGCAATAGGTCGATAAATATTCCAAGTAATAAATCAAGGTAATTCTAGTAATATACATAGTAGAGTTAGAAATGGGAAATTGGCTTAATAATTAAGGTGTTATCTAGTAGATCTCATCAAATTTCTGAATGACAATAAAACTTTTACAAACCATTTCTATTTCTGCCACAGATTGGGTTATGCAAGGATCTCCCATGCTGAACTGAGTGACTCTGAAATTCAGATGGCCAAATTTAGAATCCCTGATGATCCCATTAATTATAGAGACAACCAGAAAGTAGTCACGGACCACAGGGAAGTTCCTGAGAAAATTCACTTCAATCCCAGGTGAGTGAGCTCCTTTATGTTGTAGACTACAGTTATGAGGCACAGCATCTCCTCTGGGGACCTTGATATTATCCCACAGTGAACTACAAATTATATTTGGATCTAGAGTTTCGTTCAGGTAAGAGAGCTCATGTTAAAGATGATAAAATCCTGCTTGGGTTGAAGTTACAATGCCTGCTTTCTAGGGTAGAGAAACATGTTGTAGTCCCAGCCTCAGGTAAAAAAGATCACATCGGTGTCATCATCGTTATCACCAACCATCATGATAGGTGATATCTGAGTGTTTCTCAGACCCTGATCCAAGTGCTTTCTTTGCGTGTTATCTCAGTTAATCCTCACTGGGTTGGTACTCTTGTCATCTCCATTTTATAGGTAAATGAGTTCAAGCAGAGGAACAGGAAGTAACTTCACTAGGGTTACATGGCTAGTCAGTGACGAAGCTAAGAAGTAGGTAGGAAGCCTGTTAGTGTCATTGGGTCGCTGTGATCTTCAGTGCTGGCTGTACATTAGACTCTCCTGGAGAGCTTTCAGAAGCTACCACTACCTGGGCACCACCCTAGGCCAATTAATTCATCAGCGGTCTGGGCTTTGGATTAAAAAAAATCTTCCCAGGTTATTCTAACATGCAGATAGGATTGAGACTATGGAGAGTGGATCATTCATTTCCATTGCAGATATTCTGCCATGTGAAATATGTTGGGTTTTGTTTAGTTTTAAACAGAGGTTATCTGAGAAATCTATTTGTAGCAAAACATGTGGTTTGGAGTATGTGCTCTTTTCTCCTCCCATGACTGGATAATGAGAGGAAATGTCTGTATAAAACCAAACCCAGAACATGTCATATATAGCATTACTAGATGTTTCTACTGTTTTTACGAGCTAATAGCTATAGAAACTCTCAGAGATCATTTTGTTTGGGGAAAAAAAGGACATTTATCCATTTTCTTTCTTTTTTTTCTTGTCTCTCCTTACAAGATGAAGAAACTGGACCATAATGTAGATAATGCATGTAAAGAGAGCTATAGCCAAGTCTTGATTTGCTTCCATTACTGTATTCATTTTCACTCTTTGCAAGTGTAATGTGGTTGTGAAGAGCATCGGCTCTGGGGTCAAGCCGCCTAGTTCAAACCCTCACTTTGCCAGTGAAGAGCTAAGTAACTGTGGGCAAGCTGCTTAACTTCTCTCAGCTTCAAGTCTTCATCTGCAAGCAGGGAAAAATAGTAATGCCTACTTCCTGAGGTTATTTGAGATTCGAATGACACATAAAGTTCTTAGACTAGTGCTTGGTGAATGCTCAGGAGTCAACGGCTGCAATAGGAACAATAATATTTGTAGCAGTAACAGTAGAAGTAAAATAGTTTCTCTCTTTTGCTGATTGAGGTGATTTCTTAAATGGAACCAGATCTTGGGAGCAAAAGCTTTCCTGTTTCCTTATTCTCTATATACCATGAGTGTAGAGAAATACAAATAAAATATTTTTGGATAATTACAATTGCATATTGATCCAAACCAACTGTGAAGGGAGCTAGATCTGCTTTCCCATTTAGTTTAATTATGAAAATAATGGAAGTATAAGTAGAAAGCCTGCCTTAATTTAAAAATTCCTTATCAAAAAATATATACATATGAAAACTTATGAAATAGAAATAGTCAAACAATACTAATTTACCAAAAATCCCATTCCTTAATTCAACAGATATTCATTGAGTCCCATGATGCCAGCACTGTGCTAGGCTTTGTGCTAGACACCGAACACAGTGGTGAATAAGACCAAGTCTTTGTCCTATGGAGCTTATGTTCTGGTGGAGAGATAAGCAATTCAAAAGTTATCACTAGTAATCTTTTTGAATACATCTTTGCTTTTTATATGCATATATATCACACAATTATTCCAACTGTGTAAGTGTATGAAACATATTTACGTATGTGTGTATATGTTTATTCATTCTATTTATTAACCTGATATTTTTCATCCAAATGTATATTATGAACTTTCTTCCATAATAAAAGTATTCTTCTGAAAATACTTTTTAAATGATTGCATAATATCCCATTGTACAGATATACCAAACTCTAGCTAATCAATTTAATTATTTTTGCATTTATTTTTCCATTATTATAAAAAGTCTTCCACAGGCTTTTTATTATATCTTTGAACATATCCTTGAATACTTCCTTACGACTCAATTCTAGATGTGGAACAGCAGGGTCAAAGGTTGGGCAAGTTTTTAATATTCCTTATCATTGTTTTGGGATGACAAGGTAAACAGATCTTCTGTTTCCTACATTATGGAGGTTATTTGGAAATTGTGATTGCTGATGAGGAAAAGGAAGTCAAGGATTTCATTTGCTAGACTATGTAATTGAGTTTTTACCAGTAAAGTAAATAGTTAAGCTACAGCATGTAAGCACTAGACTGAGAAGTTGAAAGTGTGCCAAAATGGATAATTGTAACATGAATAACATATCAGTTTTCATGATCTTTTAACCTGTAAAATGGATATTATTCAAGCTGAGGACTAGAGAGAAAATTCGGATTTATTTTTCATCAATGTTATCAGCCAATAATTCTTAAACAGTTATGCTTTTGGAATGATCCATAACTATGGAAAGAGGACTTCGAAGGTTAAAATACATATGCCTTTCCCATATGTATGAAACTTTTTTTTAGTTCTTCATTTGCTGTTTTATTAATTGATCACACCTCTCTTGATTTTATGACAGATAAGTCAAACCAGAATAGGTGATGGTTGAAATTTTACATAAGAACATATCTTTCTGAATGGTTTGTATATGTCAATTACTTTTTTTTTTTTTTTCAGATTTGGATCCTACAAAGAAGGACACAATTATGAGAACAACCATCATTTTCATATGAGTACTCCCAAATACTTTTTATGAACTGTTTAAAACAAGAATTCATTGACTGTGCGAGTCTAAGGAAAACAAAAGTATATAAAATAAAATGAAGAGATGAACGAAAGTGAGAAGCTACAAAGAGCCTTAATTTTGAAAAAGTATGGTATCTATGCAGTGGGAAATTCTATCAATATATAAAACATACTGCTTAATGAAGGCATTTTTCCAAATTGTTTTTCTTAAATTTTTGATAAAAAATAGAATGTGGAGTAATATAAGAAAATTTTGCTTCTAGAAATAAAATCATTACAATGTGTTACTTTTTTAATGCTTAAAAATAAGAAATTGATTTATTGATGAACTTACAAAAATCAAACAGTCTTAAATCCCTCTTGGGACAAAGCAGGGAAAATATGTTTAAAGATTAAATCTAATTTTTAGAAGAGTAATGAGTATATACAACTATTGCTGACTCAGGAACATCAGCATGCCCATCACCATCCTTCTTTGATCTATGGTAGAATCATCTATCTTTTCTCTCATGTTTATATCACTCCATGGCTGTACATGACACACTGCAGTGAGGTCTAATAAGTCAGGCCACCAGTTGTCAGAGAGCACACCATAACACACAGAAGAGTCCCATGGAGTGAATTTTCTTCCCTAGAACTGAGCAGGTAGGTGATTGGAGAATTCAATCTAATAGCACCATGCCCACAAAGAATGGTGATTTAAATGCTCTTCAGGGAGGCACATACATCTTAGAACTGGAATGGGCCCTGAGTGTTGTTTTATCTTTGAGGGCAGAGATAAAAATTACAAGAGAGAGAATTTCCAAAGGTTTTATGTCACAATCTAAGGAGGTTCCTTGGATCTAATTAATAAACATGTCATTGAGCATATTGCCCTAGGCAAAACATTATGTCTCAGTGGTGGTTTTAAAAATATGTCCACAAATGATTTGGCACCTTCTTCAATAGGTGAAACCTAATTAGCCTCTTTTTGAGTGTGAGCTAGACTCGATGACTTCCGATGAAAATAAAGTGAAAGAGACGGCATGCTACTTGCAAGCTTAGGTGATAAAAGATATTGTGGTCTCTGCCTTAGTCTCACCCTCTTGGATCTGAGAAAAGCCAGCTGCCACGTCATGAGCAGCCAGCCCTATGTAAAGGTGGTGAGGAACTGAGGCCTCTTGTCAACAGCCAAGTGACTGAGCCACCTTAGACGTGGAACCTCCTGCCGCAGCCAAGCTTCAAGTTGTACTTCAGCCCCAGCCGACATCTTGACTGTAATTCATGAGAGACCTAAGCTCAACCATCTATTTAGCTGTTCCTAAATTCTTAACAGATAATAACTGTCATTTTAAGCCACCTATGTTTTGGGGTAATTTGCTCTGCATCACTACATGACTAATGTAACCCCTTGCATTTTTCATGTTTAGGGAACTTTGAGAACCTGGCAACAACAAACATTTACTTAGTGTCTGTCATATGCATAGTACTGTGTTTGGCACATGGTGATGGTAGGAGGTGTCACTTAACTGGAAAAGACATTGCCTTTTCCTCTGGATCCTAATCACCAAGTTTGGGAGACAGAAAGCTACAAAGACATCTTGAATAGCAACTACTGACTATTGACCCTCTACTGAACCAACATTATCTCCTGACAATGATACTGCATGGTTATGTAACACAGATGCCAACTGGGATCTTCTAACCTTTCAGCTCTGGATAAGATAGCCAGAATCCCCATTCCATTTCCTCCTGAAGACCGTGTCTTCCCCAAGGTTTCTGTGAATTGTGGTAGATTATGGGGCAAGGTTCACATTTTTATGGTTACCTCTCATTGATCTCCTCCCACTGTCATATTTCAGTTCATAGATGGTCTTACTCTTGCATTTCTGACACTTGGATTATGCTACAATGCAAGGTAAATGCAAGGAGAGAACACATTGAATGCACCTAGCCATTGCCTGGCACTCAACAGGTGCTCAGTATTTCCCAAAGTTCTGGGGAAGCGGATCTACACACAGACAGCAAGTACTGCCTCTGCACTGTGCCAAGCAGACATAGAACTCTCTTTGTTCCTGACTTCCTCAAAACAAAGTAAAACAAAACAGTCTCACCATGTGTTTTAGTGGGTAGCAGGTTTTACTGAAGATCTGTAAAGACAGAGAAGGGGTTTACATTAATAGAAACTCAGACATCTTTGGACAGATATTTAGATATTCCCTTGTTTTACAAATCTTTCGTCTTCTCCAGATCGCGTAGTTTAGGGATCTCCCTCTTGTCTTCTCTGGTTTTCCACACCTCCCCCAAATTTCTGTTAATTTCTAATGCAAATCAGATTTACTATCTCTTTTTCTTAGTCTCCGTATTCATCAAGCTCTTGAGACCTTATCTTCTACCTCAAATAGCTTATCGAAGATAGAAACTTCAATACACCTCTCAGTAAATGATAAAGTTTGAATAACAATCAAACTTAACTTGATTAGCACATATAGAACAGAGTCCCCAGTAACTTCAAATTACTCATTTTTTCAAGTGTACATGGAATATTTTCCCAAATTGACCACATGCTGGATCAAAAAACAAGATTCAACAAATGTCAAAATATTGAATTAATATAGAGTGTTTTTTCTAATGATAAACTGAGCTATAAAAAAACAAAAACAAAAAGAATTAGAAATCTCTAAATATTGGCAATTGAATAATTAAGTAATCCATAGGTCAAAGAAGAGCTCATACTGGAAATTAGAAAACATTTTTAACTAAATAGTAATGAAAACATGGCATATCAAGAGATATAGAACCAATAGGAGATAGAGATATACATAGATATAGATATAAGTAACTTGAATAGTAATTACTGACTTGACACTCTGTTGAGCTAAGTGCTTTACCAATATTCTCCTGTTAATATGCATCTTCCAACCTGTATGGGTGTATCTGTGTGTCTGTGTCTACATCTGTATCTGTACCTATATCGACATCTGTGTCTGCGTCTGTATCTACATCTGTATCTGCATGTGCATCTACTTCTACCTACTTACCTACCTACCTACCTAATTACCCATTTGCATTTCCTATTTGTTTTTTTCTCTGGAGAACCCAGACTAATACAATATCAAAACTAAAAAGAATGTTAAATGAAAGGAAAATTATAGGTCAATCTCTATAATATACATGAATGCAAAATTCCCAAGCAAAATATTGGCAAACCAAATCCAGCACTGTAGAAGAAGATAATACATTATGATCAAGTTAGGTTTATTCTGGGAATGCAAGGTTCATTTAACACTTGAAAATCAACCAATGTAATTCTCCACCTCAATGATATATGTAAAACTTAATACTCATACACTTTGATAAAACTTAATATTCACTCGTTATTAAAAAAAAGACAAAACCCTAGCAAACTAGGAAGGGAACATAATCTAGTAAAGTGTGTATATAAAATCTAACAGTGAACACGACAACAGTGAATTATTGAACACTTTCTTCTTGAGATCAGGCGTGAGGCATGGACGCTTGCTATGGCCACTTCGTTTCATTCTGTCTTAGCCATGCCACAAGGCTAGAAAAAAACAAATAAGTATAAGAATTGGAAAAGTAAAATTGTCATTATTTCAGACCATACAATTGTTTATATAAGAAAACCCATCAGAATGTACAAATACGCTTTTAGATTTACTGGAAGCAGAAATCAAGAGGAAAATATCCACGGTAGGATGAACTGGAAATAAATCAGCACTCAAAAGAACTGCAAGCCTGCTTCAAGTCATCTAAGTCCTTGTTCTTTAAAGTGTGACTGTGGACCATCAGCACTGCATTAGTTAGGGTTCTCCAGAGAAACAGAACCAACAGACTATACATGTAGGAAGAGATTTATTATATGGTTTTCGCTCATGCAATTGTGGAGGCCGAGAAGTCCTACAATCTACTGTCCGCAAGATGGAGACCCAGAAAAACCAGTGCTGTAATTCAGCCTGAGTCTGAAGGCGTGAATTCAAGGAACCAATGGTGCAGATTTCAGTCTAGGTCAGAAGGCCTAGAAGCAGTAGTGCAGAAGGCAGAAGATCTATGTCCCAGCCAAAGCAATTAGGCAGGAAAGAAACAGGGCCAATTCCTCTTTCCTCTACCTTTTGTTCTATTCAGGACCTCGATGGATTAGATAATGCCCACACGTATTGAGGAGGGCGATCTACTTTACTGAGTCTGGATTCAAATGTTAATTCCATCCAGAAACACCCTAATAGACACACCCAGAAATCATGTTTAATCTGGGCACCCTCTGGCCAGCCAAGTCGACACATAAAATTAACCATCACAAGCACTGAAATCACCTGGGGGTTTGTTAAAAATGCAGTGTCAAGTTTTGCCTCAGTTTCACTAAATCATAACTTGCACTTTAACAAGATCCACAGGTGATGTCAGTTTGCGAGGCCTTGATTTTGGTGGATCAAAATCTCAAGCCCTGAACTGAAGTTAAGGTGATTCTGGATGCCCCATGCCCCTAGACACCTGGCAAAATAAGTAAATAAAATCCAATTAACAATCAAAAATTTTTTTCATTCACAATACACAGTACACAATAAAGGATTACTGAGCACACAAGGAATAAAACACCATAAACCATGATCAGCAGAAACCAATAGACAAGGGTAACATATATCGAGGCTTCAGGTATGGGGTTTATTAGATATAGACTATAAAAACTGTGCTTACTGTGTTCAAGGACATAAAAGCCAAGCTTGAACATTCTGTAAGGAAACAAACTATAAGAAGTAACATCAGATTTGAAAAAAATTCTAGAATTCTCGAAAACTCTGTAACTGAAATTAATAATACAGTGGAATTGTTTAACATAGAATAGACAAATAGCTGAAGAACTGTGAGACAGGTGAGAAGAAACTTAGAGGTAGAAATGGAAGGCTCCCAGGGAATAAGAATAAGGGGGAAATTCGAATACATCTTTTTAATATTTGCAAAGACGCTATGCTTATTCTACACAGAAATAAACACATTTAATAATCCCTTTACACCTTCATACAGTAGTGTGCTTTGCGCTAGTCAGAGTTTATACCTATCACTAGTTTTAGCAGAAAGTACATGGAGCACCGGTATTATTTAGTTCCTCTAACCTGACGATGATTATTCCAGTGCAAGTATAGTAATTCAGAGCCTGTAACCTTCCTGGCCTGGTACACGCTGGCTGTTGCTGATTCTTGGGGTAAAATAAAGGCCCTTGATGTTTTGGGTGGTGTGAGGGAGTGGCTGAAAAAAAATCAGTGTTCTGATTTCTGGGCTCTTCTGAGCAGAGCCATTGGGCTGCCCTGGAGGAGCAGGCTAAGGTCTGGTAAAGTGGGTGGGAGAGGAGGCGCCAGTCTGGGAACTCGAGTTGCACTGCTTTGCAGACTGACAATGTAGCTGAACACATAGTGATTACCGAACTGGTGTAATCTGTCAACCCAGCAAAATACAACATGCTCTTAGCTTACCTTATTTGTCAAGATTCTGAGGAAACCTATAGATTAGAAATTAAGTAAATTCTATGGAAATGTAGGGTTCAAATCATATTCTGTGACTTGATCTGGGATGACTGGGAGTTCTGGGGACCTACATCCTCTACAGTTCCAGCCTACTTTGGAAGAGAAGGAAGTGTCCAGATTCCTTTGTACTGCTTCCTAGCAGAGTAAAACACTACATAAACATTTCTCTGTTTTTTGTTTTTGCCATATAGAAACTTTCTAACAATACCTCTGTAAGCCTTTTCTAACATTTCTGGCAGTTTTCCACTTACATTTTTTTTCCTTTAAAATATTTAGTTAGATAGCAAGATGTTGAATATGTTTTCTTTTTTTTTTCAATATTCCTTTTAAATTTGAGAATTTAGTTGTTTGTGACCTTAGGGGAACAGGTATTACGGAATGAATGTTTGTGACCCCTCAACCCCTAATTCATATGTTTAAATCCTGACCCCGGATGTAACACTATGAGTAGGTGGAGCCTTGGAAAGATAATTAGGTCAAGAGGGTAGCGCTATCATGAATGAGATTAGCTTCTTTGTAAGAAGAGACACAAGAACTTTCTCTTTTTGCTCGCCATCATTTGAAGATACTAGAAGACAGCCATCTATAAACTAGGAAGAGAGCCTTTACCAGACACCAGATCTGCTGGCACCCTGACTTTGTACTTCCCAGTCTCCCAAACTGTGAGAAATGTTTGCTGTTTAAGACCCCTAGTCTGTAGTAATTTGTTATAGCAATCCAAACTAAGAGAACTGGGTTACTAAAATAACCCAGTGACTCTCACTGTGGGGTGGGGTGGAGTGGTCTGTAGACTGGGGAAGGCAGAAACATGGGGGAAAGTGGAAACATTCAAATCTCTCCCTTCTTTACAGTGGACATAGTGTTCATGGCCGATGTCTCCTCCAATCTGGAGACCAGACTCTTCCTTGCTTGTTCGCCAACCAATTTTCTACTTAGTGGAATCTGGCAATTCAAGAGATGCATCCTCATGCTTCCTGTTTCTCATTTTTTTTTTTTAGTTATAGTACATTTTTTAGATGATCAGATGGGTTCAGGGGACAATGAAAGAGAAAAAGAAGAAGATAAAGTACTTATCTGCTGTATTGTGGAGTGGTGAATTTATCTTATTTTATATAGTTGAGTCAGTAGCTATTTTGATTCCCATGTATTTGGGAAGCATCCAATTATTTTAGCCATAGCTTCCAATGAGCTAATAATGCACTCTCTCTTTGTTAGATTACCTTAATCTGTACTAAGGGGCTCTAGAAGAGTTAATGCCTTGAGCTGACTTCATTATGTGAGCAGCTAATAGGAGCACTAACATAGTTAAGTAATTTCAGAATAAAGGCATTACATAAGACTCTAGAATAGAAACCACTTAGTCAAACACTGATTGATAACATTAATAATCAGACACCCTTAATAAACTATAATTTCCCCCCACATTCAAGTTTTAGGCATAAGAGGCGAATCATAAAAGAATATGCCTATTTCAGAATCCAGAATCCATAATCACAGGGCTGAAAAAGAACTTAGAGATCACATAAATCAGCGCTCTCGCTTTGCAGTTGAGAAACTGAATTTAAATCCACTAGATGATATATACAAGAACAGCTAAATAATAGAGAAGCTGGAACAAGAATACAGTTTTCTTTCCCTGTTCCAGCATTCCTCCTTCCACATGATATTGCCTCATAAAACTTGGCGGGGGAAGCATTTCCAGGATATATCATGAGGCTCTGATAGATAGTCCAAACCCCTACAACATAAAAACTGATGTCCCAAATTGAGTTATGTCCGTCTGTCTTACACACGTCTCAAATCCCCTCGGCCCTGGTCTCAGCACCCTCCTGGGACAGAATCTGATCTTTCACCTGCACTTCTGTTTCTCCTTCCCTTCTCCCTCTCTCCAAGCTCTGGTGTAGGGCTGAATCTCCCATGGAGATTCTGTCCCAACTGCTTCTTTGTCCTTATTTCTCCCACTCACTTTGTTAGTCCTAGTGTCAGCAGCTCTGTGGAAATAATACCTTCCCCATTTTGTGAGGTTCCCTGATCAGAGGGAGCCCATGCCCACTTGCTGGCTAACTGTGTCACTGACAGATTGCCTGGCTGGCTGGTTGGCTCTCAGAGTTTGTCCCTCTCACTTTCTCTCCCTCTTCTACTCCTGCAATGTCATTCCCTTCTTTTGTATTTCTTTGTTAAATTAAAAAAAATTATAGAAGTTTCAGGTATACAGCATTATAATTCAACATCTGCCCTTCCCTTCTTAAGGAGGCGGGACCTTGCCTATGCAGGAGGCTAGAGCATTAGAGACTCAGGATCTCTCTTGTGTGTAGGGACATTTAGCTCCCTCTTCCCACAGCTGGACTCCTTCTTTGAGGTGGGGGGTCTGCCTCTGTCCTTGCTTCAGTTCTACTGACTAATTTGAAGGATTAGGTTAATGATCTCCAAACATTATAATGTGTGCCACCATATCAGTAAAAAAAAAAAAAAAAAAATTGAGCATGCACTCTCAATATATTTACTTATAACTTACATCCATATATCAGATATAGGTAAAGCTTAATTTTTTTTGAATAAAAAGGGATACAAATAGAAGTTATAATAGTTTTTCCTTGTATGTCCCCACTCCCCACTACTGAATTGAGCAGTGGGTGCTCTGGGAGCCACATTTGGATGGGCTAAGTAGGGGTTCCGTAATAGTAATAATAATGGTTGTCATTTTTTGAGCACTTACTCTATGCCAGACCCAGTACCAAGCCTTTACATAAAAAGTTCCACTGAATTTTTGCAGGAGCTCGTGTGGTAGGCACTACCGACTCTCATTTTATTTTCAAAGAAACCGAGGCTTAGAGATGCTCTGTGGCCACTAGCAAGAGGCAGGGCAGAATCAAAGCTAGATCTCTTTGACTTGAAGCGTGTCTTAGTCACCGTGCCACGCTGCTAAAGGGAAGAGAGCAAACATTTGTTGAATGCTGGGAACGGGGATGCAGTGCCCTCTGAAAGCTGCCATCCTACTGGGCTCTGACATCCTGCGGGCCCCCTA